AGAAAAAAGAAAGAATGAAAGAAAATGTGCTGAAGATTTTGTAAGCGATTTTACAGGTCAAGCCTGGAGGTGGCAAACACCATTTCTGTACCTACTCCATTTTCTAGAACTAGTCACATGACTCCAACTATTGGCCAGGGGTTCTTGGGAATCAGATCTCCCTGTGTGACCTGTAATGCAAAGCAAGATAGTTGAGTTTCCGTAGTAGAGTCCTGGCACAACAGGTAACCATGTGACGTATTTTCTGTTAGTGGCAGATATTTCCTATAATTATTCTATTTGTATACTTCACTGTAAACTCTTTTTGAAATTCTCTGTAATGAATTCCGGGACCAACAAATGACCCAAGAATTTACAAATCATTATGTTTCTTTCTCATTTTAGAAATTTGCAGAAAGTGAGGGAATCTACTCAGATGTCTACTTCTGAACATTTTGATGTTGTACAGATAGCCAGCAAACAAGGATTCGAGGTGACGGTATCTTTGTGTGTGTGTGTGTGATGGAGTCTCACTCTGTCACCCAGGCTGGAGTGCAGTAACACGATCTTGGCTCACCGCAACCTCTGCCTCCCAGGTTCAAGCGATTCTCCTGTCTCAGCCTCCCGAGAAACTGGGATTACAGGCGCTCACCACCACGCCTGGCTCATTTTTGTATTTTTAGTAGAGATAAGGTTTTAGCATATTGGTCAGGCTGGTCTCGAACTCCTGACCTCAGGCGATCTACCCACCAAAATGCTGGGATTACAGGCATGAGCCACCACACCCGGCCCAGGTGACGGTATCTTATGTCCCCCTGACAGGCAGGATTCTATTAAAGAGCAGGTTTTTATGCTTTGCACCTTCCTGGTAGTCAGTAAATGACAAAGACGCAAGAAGTTAATGATCCATTGAAATTACATTGGACAATCTAAGAGTAGAGATTTTTCTTTTATTGCCCCCTAATAAATATGGCTCACTGTTGCAACCAGAATTTGTACTCAGTTCTGATGGGAAAGATAATGGCAGTTTCTGTGTCTTATACCACCAAATGAAGAGACTTACTACTGCAGGTTTATTAATAATATTTTCCTTGAGCAGTTCTTTTGAATCATATTGGCCTCTGTACAGATCAAGCAGTTTGTTTATAAGAGTAAGCCTGGGACCAGGTGCGATGGCACAGGCCTGTAATCCCAGCACTTTGGGAGGGTGAGGCGGGTGGATCACCTGAGGTCAGGAGTTTGAGACCAGCATGGTCTCAGAGACATGGTGAAACCCTGTCTCTACTAAAAATACAAAAAAAAAAAAAAAAAAAAAAAAAAAATTTAGCTGGGCATGGTGGTGGACACCTGTAATCCCAGCTGCTTGGGAGGCTGAGGTAGGAGAATTGCTTGAACCTGGGAAGCGGAGGTTGCAGTGAGCCGAGATCACACCACTGTACTCCAGCCTGGGTGACAGAGTGAGACTCTGTCTCAAAAAAAAAAAAAAAAAAAAAAAGAAAAGAGAAAGAAAGAGCAAGCCTGGGAGAGTTTACAGCCACATGGACACACCTTGGGGCCGTGCTTAACTAAGCTTCAGAGTTAATGTGTACCTTGTGTTTTTCAGTGTTTCCTAGATCTATGGATTGACTTCGAATCCCATGTCTTCTGCCAGAGTTTAGCTATTTAACGCATAGGGAAGCAATATGATTTTATGGTTGGTCAGGTGGCCCACAGCGTGAAACTGAGTTTGAATCCTTATTCTGCCACTTAACCACCGTGTTACCATGGGCCCTATACAGTATGTGTTTGCTAGGGCTGCCTAGGTATTTGTGGCAAGAAGCATCACAAACTGGGTGACTTAAATAACAGAAGTTTATTTTCTCACAGTTCTGGAGGCTAGAAGTCTGAGATGATGGTATCAGCAGGGTTGGTTTCTTCTGGGGCCTGTCTTCTTGACTTGCAGATGGCTGTCATTTCCTGTGTCTTTACATGATCTTCTGTGTGTGTGTGTGTCTGGGTTCAAATCTCTTTTTATAAGGTGACCAGTAAGATTGGATTTGGAGCTACTCTAATGACCACATTTTAACTTAATTACCTCTTTAAAGACCCATTTCCAAATATAGTCACATTCTGAAATACTGGGATAAGAAAGGTACTTCATGATGTTGTTGTCAGCATTTGAAGAGAGGATGCATACGCGTTTCCTCACACATTACCAGGAATATGGTGACTACTCGCTACATATAACTATTTTTATTACAATTATAAAGTGTATTCTATCTGTCTGTGTCTTCTTTTCCAGTTGTGAGATGGCTCTCTGCATGGCTTTTCAATTACTGAGGCCTGGGGTTATTGTCGTCTTTCTAGCGCCCTCATAGCATCTTAAAATGCTGCCTTCCACAGAATAATAGGGCAAAAGCCCAAGGAATGTTGATCAAATGGATGGGTATGAATTTTGTGCTCAGGATTTCTGAGTGGTCTTCTGTGGCTATTGCTTTGGTGTCACTGTGGTGTCACACCATAGATGGCTGTGAAATGCTCTCAGATTTCCTGGTTCCTGGAGTGGCCTGCCCAAAAACTAGACAAGGACCTGGAGAAGAGTAATGTCTCCATGTCAGGGACAGGAGACAGAAGTCGTTGTGCATTGTCAGGGGAGTAACTGTAAAATCACAGAACCAGATCACCAAACATAAGAATTATCCAAACATTGGAGGCGATTTTTAAATCAGGCAGTCTGTCAAAGTGGTTGACTTTCCTGCAATTATTAGCTATCCCCAACATTTCTAGGCTTAATGAGAATCAATGGAATTATTTTATGCTGGTATTATGGTAGGTTATCATCTCATGCCCAAAGAATTGACTCTTCTCTAAATTTTTGGTATTTCTTGTTTCAACTGCTATAAATGTTCTTTGCTTTAAAAAAGTGCTGCTACTGTCACAACCCAGTTACAACCTGTGTTAAATACTAGCAAGCAGGGATCCACTAGGATCAGAAGAAGGCGGCCAGATTGCAGAGTCTCTGATATAAGTTGTCAAGGAGGCCAGTATGCAGCCCATCAATCCAGAGAAGCTTGGATACGCTGGGGAATAGTGTGCTTATTAAGTCTACACATGGCTATAGCATCCATCCATAGCAGATGAGTTACACAGGCTTCATTAACTAGACACAAAGGGTATATTATTCATAGATCATGCTAGATTCCTCTTAGTGAATCAGCTCTTAAACTGTGAGTCAAGAACACCACCAGCCTCACCAACTAGCTCCTTTATCCTCTATCAGATCAGCTACTGAATCTGGTTAATTTTTCTTTTGAAATACCTCTAAAAATGTTTGTCTTTTATTAAAAGGTTTTAAATAGTAACTGTGAGGACTATCACAAATAAAGAGTGTGATACAATAAGAAATATGTAGTTGGGCTTTGTCCCAACTTCCTGGAATACAGCTCCTAAAACCCTTGGAATCTCCAGAGTGATGAGTGTCTTTTGTATGGTAGTGAGAAGGCTGGTAGCTGGGAGCCCCTAGACCTTCAAGAGGGGATTGGACATGATTAAGACTAAGAAAGACTGACATGATTAGAAGGTTGGAACTTTCAGCCCCATCCCTGACCTCTAGGGAGGAGAGAGAAGCTGAAAATTGAGGTAATCACCAGTGGCCAGTGATGTAATCTCTCACATCTGTGCAGTAGAATCACCATAAAGCCCCCAAAACAATAGTGTTTGGATTGTTGCTGGGTTGGTGAACATACCGAGGTGCTGGGAGGGTGCTGTTCCCAGAGGAGGCATGGAAGTTCTGTGCACCCACACTCTGCTCCCATACCTTGCCCAAAGCATCTCTTCCATTTGGCCATCCTGAGTTATATTATTTATGATAAACTGGTAAACTTAAGTCAAGTGTTTTCCTGAGTTCTGTGAGCCATTTAAGCAAAGTACGGAACCTAAAGAGGGGGGTCACAGAAACCCCTGATTTATAGGTGATTGGTCAGAAGTGTAGGTGGCAACCTGGAACTTGTGACTGGCATCTAAGTGGGTAGTAGTCTTGTGGCACTGATCCCATAACCTGTGGGGTCAGTGCTAACTCTGGGTGGTGTCAGAATGAAATTGGATTGTTGGACACTCAGTTGGTATCTGAAATGTTGGAGAATTGGTTGGTATGAGGAAAAAATTCACACATTTGGTGTCAGGAGAATTGTGACTGACATCAATGCAAATGTATATAAAAATGTGAATTTATATGAAGTAATTTTTAGCTGACCATAACATAATAGTTATATTCATTGCTGTGGTTTGACTGTGTCCACACTCACATCTCATCTTGAATGGTAATCCCCTTAATCCCCATGCATCTAGGGACAGAGCTGTTGGGAGGTGCTTGGATCATGTGGGCAGTTTCCCTTATGCTGTTCTCATGATAGTGAAAGAGTTCTCAGGAGATCTGCTGGTTTAAGGAGGAGCTCTTCCTCCTTCACTCCTCACTCTTCTCTCTCCTGTCACCATGTGAAGAAGATCCTTGCTTCCCCTTCCGCCATGATTGTAAGTTTCCTGAGGCCTCCCAGTCATGTGGAACTGTGGGTCAGTTAAAACCTCTTTTATGTATAAATTACCCAGTCTTGGGTATTTCTTTATAGCAGTGTGAAAATGGACTAATACACCCACTGTTATGACCATAAAGGCTGAAACATGTCTTATTAGGGGTGGGTGAAACATGGAATTAAGTAACTGATTTAATGTTACCTAATTGTTCTATAAATTGATTTATCTTTCTATTAAAATTTAGGAAAAAAAAACACAGCAGGGACAACAACAAAATCCTTCCTTATTAGTCACTTGCTGTGCATTTTCACTGTCCTCACAGGTCCCCCATCTCCTGTTGTGGAAAAAGTCCAACCATATCTCCTGACTGCTGTCTTCCCTTCCTTCCGATCATTGTATGATTGCTGGTTTTTCTTTCCTTAGTTCTTCATTTGTGTTTCTCTTTCTTAAAATTCCCCTGCAGAGTTGCCTTTAAAATTTTGTAATTGGTTTAATTTTTCTTTATTTGGCAGAGAAGAGCAAGTTAGTACCTTGTACCAAAACATCAACCTTGTGGAACCAAGATTAATTCAACCATATGAACATGTTATAAAGAACTTCATCCGTGAGATCAGACTTCAAAGCACAGAAATGGAAAATTTGGCCATTGCGGTGAAGAGGTATTGAAGTCCTTCCTTTATAAGTGGCCTGTGGGTGCTTTAACTTGCTCTCTGACCTGGGTGGCAAATGGGCTGAACTGCATTGTTACCCTATGATATTGGTGGACTTACTGAGCTTCAGGAGTCTAGAGCTTTCAAAATTAAGCCAGCACTGGAGAAGTAGGTCAGCTACCAATCAATCAATAGGTCATCATGATTCTATTATATAAACTCTTCAGGATCAGTGACTTGATACAGAACAATTCAGAGATTTATCTTACATCTTGCTGCTTAAAACACACAGGAGAAACTTTATCTAGAGAAGTAGGTGGAACTCTATTTGAAGCCTGGCCTTGTTACCTACGTGTATGAGACTTTGTGAGCAGGTTACTTAATCTCCCTGAGTTCAATTCCTGCATCTTCAAAATGAGGATGAATATCTTCACGTCCTCTGGGTGTTAAGACTTAGTGGATGATGTCATGGGTGAGCCCCTCACACTGCCCACCACATGGGTGCTCAGCAGTACTGCTTTGGCTCTCTCTACTCTCTAGCCCTCCTCACTTGGCCCTCCCCCTCTGAACTGAAAGCCAAAGAACTATTAAACTCTTACTCTAATACAGTTCATGTAAGCCATAGCTAGCTTACATAGGATATCTGATTGGTGTTAACAGCTATATCATGCAAAAAAGGAATTAATATGTGTTGCAGTCCAAATATCAGCCTCTTTGCCCCCTGGAAAAACTGCATTCCTTTAACATATATTGGGAAAAAGAGGGCATTGTGCTTGTCACAGTTCTGGTGTGTTGTGCCCCACCGATGCTCCTTGCTGCCATGTGCTCCACCAGCAGCTCTCAAGACGCTGTGCACCCTGCTGGTTTCTGCCTGGAGCTTATAAACACAGCCCTTTTAATAGGAGGCTGCCCTGTCTACATAGGGGCGGGTGACTTGTCTTCAATTCTGCTGTCTCTTTATCCCTCCCATCCACATGATGCTGAAACTATCTAGTTGAACCTTCAGAATAACTAAAGGACATTGTAATGTAGGAAAGAAAATATTTTAAATTCTTGATACAAAATAGGACCTTTCTTATAGTCCTAGAATCAAGCAAAAGTTAATCTATTCACAAGGGACTTCTTATGAACATTTTTAGTACCTGACTGACCGTTTTTCTCTTACATTAGCCTTCTAGGGGCTTCCAGTAGGATAAAGCGTGGTCCTCAGAACTCCAGAACAGCTGTAGAGCATGCTGGAGTGTGGATTAGAGTCCCAGAGTTGGCCTCTTTTGACATGTGACAGGCAGACACACACATTGATTCTTCAGAGCACCCAATAAGTATTAAAACAGACAAACTCACAGGTATACACATAGGTACACATATACAGACCCACACAAAGATATGTGGGTATACACACACATACACACGCCTCCATCTAAATATAATACCATGTACACCTACGAGGGAAAAAAACATACTGGCGTGCTTGATGTTCTCATTACCAGCTAGGCTGCTTTTTCACGGTGGAGTGAGTACATCACATTAATTCGAGCTGTGTTGGTGTCCCCGTCCACTCCCTTCTGTGCTGCTGGGGCCATCCAGAGCCAGGCTCTATGCTGAGCCTAAGTCTCCTAAAGGCTCCTTTCTTAGCTATCAAAGACGTCAGGAACTATTTAAATGGCTACTTGTAAACTATTCCTTACATTCTTAGCCATCCATTCTCACCTCTATTTTGGATTGGGGGAGGGTTTTGGCCATTTTGCTCTGCACTACACCTGAAGAATGGGTTCCCAGTGTCCTGGTGGGAGCCCTGGACTAAGGTCACAGTGAGCAGACATTTCAGTAGAAATTAGAAATTGCTGGGGCAAGCACTCTGTCATTATGCATCACCCTGATTTGCAAAAGAAGAAAAATGTTGCTCAGAAGTGAAAAGGGAGAGAGAGTCCATTACGGAGCAGTCCCAGATGTGTGGGATGGGATAGCTAGAAGAAGTAGGTGGGAAATGATCATAGCAAAGGGAGAAAGGATATGTGCCTTAGCCATTTACAGTCCCAGAGTTGACCAAAAAAACCACCAGGCATTGCTATGGAGATACATAATTTCTGGACTTCAAATAGCAGGTATTTATAAGCAGAAATGAACTGATTTCCCAAGTTTGGTTAACATAACCTTAGACAGGCTATAAGCTGAGGAAGAAGTAAATAGGAACAGAAGATAATAATGTTACTGAAAATTTTACTTTGGGGTCTTTTTCCTCCCACAATATTTCCTTGGAGTTTTATGTGGAAGTTGAACCAATGCATGAATAAATTATGTTGTGAGGGAGTAAATAAGTCAAAAGCAGGTAAGTTGCTATAGCAGAGACCCATCAAACTAGAAGACAGAAAATCTTCTATTTAAGCCCTATCATTTGTTAATAGCATGCCATTTGTCCAAATGAATCACCTCTAAAGCTCATGGTTTAGATGCAAATCAATGTGCTTTGCCTTTATAGAGATGTGATTTATAATTGCACTCGTAACAGTAACAATTTTTCTAAAAGGTAACTTTATCTACATTCTAGAACTTTAGGGGACAAATAAGAAATAATGATTGAGATCTTTTTTTCCCTTCTCACTTTAACATATAACATTGTGAGTTTTTTATAGTGAAATTTCAAAATTATATCTAACCATCACTTTGCCATGGAGTTCTTCTTCTTCTTTTTTTTTTTGAGAGGGAGTCTCACTGTGTCACCCAGGCTGGAGCGCAGTGGCCAGATCTGAGCTCACTGCAAGCTCCGCCTCCCGGGTTTACGCCATTCTCCTGCCTCAGCCTCCTGAGTAGCTGGGACTACAGGCGCCCGCCACCTGCCAAGCTAGGCGCCCGCCACCTCGCCCGGCTAGTTTTTTTTTTGTATTTTTTTATTAGAGATGGGGTTTCACCATGTTAGCCAGGCTGGTCTCGATCTCCTGACCTCGTGATCTGCCTGTCTCGGCCTCCCAAAGTGCTGGGACTACAGACTTGAGCCACCGCGCCCGGCCGAGTTCTTCTTTTTAATCCAGGATTGTAACTCAGTCATGAGAGAAAAAAAAAAAAAAAAAAATTCAGAATTTATTGAGAGCCTGCAGCACTTTGATATCTTTATTGCTTGCCACAATCTAGTTTAATATCATTTTATCCAATGTATTCATTTATTTGGTATAGTCAGGTACCACATCACGATGTTTTGATCAATAAAGGATTACATAAATGACAGTGGTCCCATAAGAATATAATCCTATATTTTTACTGTATCTATTCTGTGTTTAGGTACACAAATACTGGCCATTGTGTTCCAGTTACTTGCAGTATTCAGTACAGTTCCGGTTTGCAGCCTAGGAGCAATGTGCTATACCGTACAGCCTAGGTGTGAAGTAGGCTGTAGCAGCTAGGTTGGTGTGAATACTCTATGATGCTTGCACAATGACAAAAATCTCCAAAAGACACATTTCTCAGAATGTAAGCTAGTTGTTAAGGAATGCATGACCGTATCTAGTTTTAAAATGATTTTACACCAAAATGGTCAAATTGCCAATCTCATTTTGTTACGTAGATGGAATGGGGAATATCATTTTGAATGGTGTGTTTCTCTTCATCTGTAATATATAGGGCTTCACATAGATGAGTCTGAAGTTTCTCTTCATGTTTCAAGTTCAAGAGTGTAATGAAAAGGTGTGCATCCTTTTGAATTTCAGAGCCCAGGACAAGGCAGCTTTGCAGCTGAGTGAGTTGGAAGAGGAAATGGATCAGAGGATTCAGGCTGCAGAATATAAGACACGGAAAGACGTGAGTTTCTGGGTTGGCCATTCATTCCAGCAGATCTTTATGAGGTGCTTTCTATGGAGAGGGCCCAGACAGTATTCTGGGTATCATGCATGGGTACAGCAAGTCCAGCTTCCCACAGATCCTCCCAGCAAAGGAATTTTTACTGGTGGTGTTTTTTGGGGATGGGGTAAGAAGAAATAGATATAATCAAATAAAAAAGTAAAGCAAATAAGTTCAGATAGTGACAAGTGCAGTAAAGAAATAATGTGTGATAGTGACTGGAAGAGGAGGTTGCTTAGGTTGGCGGCTAGAGGCCTCTTTGAAGGGGTAACATCAGAGACAAAGCCTTGGGAGAAGGCAGAGGCAGCCTTCGTAGAGAAGGTGACTTGACTTTCCATACTTGTGTCACTGCCCACACCCGCTGCCCACTTTAAATCTAGATTAGAGTGAAATTAAAATTCTGTCTTCAAACTTTGGTGGTTTATAACAGAATACAGTCATCACTTGGTACCCGAAGAGATTAGTTCCAGGACTCCCCCGCAACCTTGCATACCCAAATCTGCATGCTTAAGTTTTTATACAAATAATGCATATTTACATACAACCTACACATATCCTCCAGTATACTTTAAATTATCTCTGGATTACTTACAATACCTAGTGTTAACACAATGTAAATGCTTTGTAAAGAGCTGTTATACCGTATTTTTATCCGCATCACTTTTACTGCTTAAAATATTTTCAATCTTTAGTGGTTGAATTCGCAGATGCAGAACCTGTGGATATGAAGGGTTGACTGTATGCCTTTATTCAGCGTTATAGGAACCATTTAAAGTTGAAAGTGATATGTTACCTTCAGTGATTTCCATGAAGAAAGAATTTTTCTTATATTTTCGGGTGATTAATGTTTGTTGAAAACAGAAAATAGACAATTCCAGGTTAAAAATGTCACTTTCGTTTATTCATTCACCCTGTTAACACTGAATGGCAGCAAAATAATGTGCAAGTGGCCTGAACGTTGGCATCTGGGAGACCTCAGTTTGCATCCTGGCCCTGATCGTATCCCGGTGACATTGGGAAAATAACCCAACCTCTGAGCCTTTGTTATTCCATCTCTAAAATGGGATAATGCAACCTACCTGCCTTCACAGGAGTTAAACATGATGATCTATATGAAGTGCCCACCACAGTACCTGCAATGTGGTGGCTGCACCCTGGTTGTTACTGTCCTGCTCTTTCCTGTGGCTCTGTGTATTCTTGATTCCTTTTAGATTCTTCACCTTAAATGGCTTTACTGCATGTGTGCCCTGGGGTGTCTTTGTCTCCTTATACAAAGTTTAATAAGAAGCTGGACGTCATATTCAACCAGATAAATGGTTCAAGATTCATGGTCCAGCTTCAGAGCAATGGATCACCCCTTCTGCTAGCACTTTCCTTTTGGTAAAAAGGAAAGAGTAAAATCGTTTTGCTGCCTTTTTTCTTTCTCCATCTGCTGTGTTTAATCTGTGCACTCATTCATTCATCAAACACATATCAAGCACATGTGTTATTCTGTCATCATATCTTACTGCTTCTTCTAGATAAATGCCTCTCAAATTTGTCGCTGGTAATGAGGATATTACCATGGCCCCCACCTTTTAGAACTTCATGTTTTGTTAATTACAACATCGTTAGTTTCCTTGGCTTCAGTCCGGAGGTGGCAGACCCATGCATCTATGGCATCATTTCTCTATTCCACAGCAATGACACACGTGGCCTGTAAGACACCGTATACACATGGTCACCACACCTCAGCACGCCAGTCCAGGACCTCACTGCCAGCCGAGCAGCTTTGGCACTGTGAGGAAACTTGTTTGCCTGTCCATCCCAGTGTCCACCTCACACCTTTCTAAAGATAGCTTCTCTGGAATAACATGCCCAGGCCAGTCTAAGATTTTCCCTCATTTCCTTCCATTCCACACGGCTCCCCTCAGCCCTCCAGGGTTCTTCACCCCCAGCTCTGGCCCAGTGGCCTTGCTGTGCCTGACTCTGCTTTGTCTCCAGCTGTTTTCTTTGCCTTGATGATTATCTCCTCAATCCTTTCCTCCTTCCCAAATTCTGCAAAGCTCAGAGGAACCCTCACTTTCTTCTTGATGCCCTCCCCTGCTCCTCTAGCCGCATTCACCTTTTCCTGACCTGGACTCCTATGGCATATATAGCATATATTGCATTGCTTCAGTTTTTTTTTTTTAAACTGTAACAGCTTTATGAAGGTATAATTGGCATGCAACAAACTGCATATGAAGTACAGTATACGTGAAGTTTGGACATATGTATGCACTGTGAAACCATTCCCACAGGCAAGATCGTAGGCATAGCTATCCACCCTAGAAGTTTCTTCATGCCCCTTGAAGGCATAACAAGCCTTTCTTCCTCCTTTCTTTGCCCCTTTTTGTCAGATAATCATTGTTCTATTTTCTGTCACTGTAGATTAGTTTGAAGTTTTCAGAACTGTATAGAAATGGAATCATGCAGTATATACTATTTCTTGTCTGGCTTCTTCCACTCAACATAATTATTTTGAGACGTATCCATGTAATCAATAGTTTGTTCTTTTTCATTGCCGAGTAGTATTCCATCATGTAGGGGTACCACAGTGGTTAGCCATTCATCTGTTGAAGGACCTTTGAGTTATTTCCAGGTTTTGGCTATTGCAAATTAAGCTGCTATGAATATACATGTGCAAGTCTTTATAGAGGCATATATTTTTATTCCTCTTGAGGAAATTCCTGGAGTGGAATGGGTTGATCATCTGTGTAGATGATTGTGTATTTTTGTAAGACACTGCCAACCTGATTTCCAGAGTAGTTGTACAGTTGTGTTTCAATCAGTAGTGTATGAGAGTCCCATTCTTTCAGCATTCTAATTGGTGTGTAGAGGAATCTCATTGTGGTTTTAACTTGCATCTCTGATGAATAGTTGTGTGGAGAATCTTTTCTTGGGTTCATTTGCCATGTGTATGATTTTTTTTTTTTTTTTTGCTGAAGTGTCTTGTTAAAAATCTTTGGCTCATTAAAAATATAGTTTTTTTTTTTTTTAAAAATACTATGTTTTGAGAGTTCTTTTATATTCTGAATGCAAGTCTTTTATCAGATACCTGATCTATAAATATTTTCACCCACACAGTGACCTGTCTTTTCATTCTCCTAACAGTATCTTTTAAAGAGTATAAAGTTTTAATTTTGATGAATTGTAATTTACCAATTTTTTTCATGGATCATACTTTTCTTGTGGTCTTTAAAAATCTTTAACCCAAGCTCACGAAGATTTTCCCCTATGTTTTCTTCTATAAGCTTTATTGTTTTAGGTTACATTTAGGATCTATTTTGTATTTGGTGCCAAGATATGGATCAATGTTCATATTTGTTTTTTGCATATAGATATCCAATTGTTCCCACACCTTTATTAAACAAGAGTAACCATTTTCCACTGAATTGCTTCTGCACTTTATCCAAAATAGTTTATTCTATGTATGTAGGTTTATTTCTGGGTTCGGTGTTCTGTTCCATTGATTACTTTGTCTATTGTTATGCTAATATTACATTGTCTTGAATACCTATTGGTTTATAGTATGTCTTGATACCTATTGGTTTATAATAAGTCTTGAAATCAGCTAGTATTAGTTCTTCAACTTTGTGCTTTTTTTTAAAAAGTTGTTTTGGCTATTTTAATTGCTTTAATTTCCATAGAATCAGCCTTTCAATTTCTTTTTTTAAAAAAAACAAACAAAAACTCAAAGTCTGCAGGGAGTTTGACTGAACTTCATTGTATCTATAGATCAATATGGGTAGAATTGACATCTTAACAATATTGAAAATATGATTTATCTATGTCTTCTTTTAGCAATGTTTTGTGTTATTCACTGTACAGATCTTGTACATCTTAGATTTACTCAGTATGTCATATTTTGATGATCCTGTAAATAGTATTTCTAAAAATTTCAATTTCCAATTGTTCATTGTGAATGTATAGAAATACATTTGAGTTTTGAGTATTTGTCTTGTATTTTGTAGCATTGCTTACATTGTTTGTACACAGTGCCTTTTTATTGGTAGATTTTGTCAGATTTTCTAGGATGATGATTATGAAATACATTAATAGTAACAGTTTTATTTGTCTTTCAAATTTGGATGAAGCTTTTTATTTTTCTTGCCTTATTGCACTGGTTAGAAGAATAAAGGAGATGAGAACATTGAATGTGATGTTAGTGGTGTAGTGTTCATAGATGCCTTTATGAGTGGAGTAGAATCCCTTCTGTTCCTAGTTTGCTGAGTATTATTGTTGCTGTTGTTTTAATAAGGAATGGATGTTGAATTTTCTCAAATACTTTTTCTGTCTTATGTTCATGTTTTTTCTTTTTTAGAATGTTAATGTGGCGAATTACATTGATTGATTTTTGAATATTAAAACAAACTTGCACTTGAGATAGGCCATAATTAGTGATGATGTACTGTCCTTTCTATAGATTGTTGAATTCAGTTTGCTAAATTTTACTTAATATTTTTTCATTCATATGCGGAAGAGATATTGGTTTGTATTTTTAATGCCTTTGTATGATTTTGGCATCAGGCAAATTCTGGTCTCATAGAATGAGTTGGGACGTGTTCCCTCCATTCCAGTTTACTGGAAGTTTGTCAAGAGTTGACCTGAACTACTACCATGCCTCACCTGCATTACTGTAACAATCCCTTATCTGATTTCTCAGCATCTACCTGTCGCAGGTTTGGAATGAAATAGGCTAGTGATCATTTCCTTTATTGAGCTCTTGATAAAATATTTCTTTTCTTTTTTTTTTTTTTTTTTTTGAGATGGAGTCTTGCTCTGTCGCCCAGGCTGGAGTGCAGTGGTGTGATCTCAGCTCACTGCAAGCTCTGCCTCACGGGTTCACGCCTTTCTCCTGCCTCAGCCTCTCCAGTAGCTGGGACTACAGGCACCCGCCACCATGCCCGGCTAATTTTTGTGTATTTTTTTTTAGTAGAGACGGGGTTTCGCCATGTAAGCCAGGATGGTCTAGATCTTCTGACCTCATGATCTGCCCGCCTCAGCCTCCCAAAATGCTGGGATTGCAGGTGTGAGTCACCACACCCAGCCTAGATAAAGTATTTCTAAACCCTAAAATGTTTATGTTTGGGTTTGTGGCTATGGATCTAATGAAGAGACTTGCAGTCAAGTCCATTTTGATGCCAGGAAGGCTGCCTCATTAACACCTTGTTGTGAGACCTCTGTGTCTTCATCCACATGTGAGGCAGGCAATACTTGGTGCCTCACCTGTAAAGCTGGATGAAGTCAGCTTTTTTTTTTTTTTTTTTTTTTTTTTTTTTTTTGAGACGGAGTCTTGCTCTGTCGCCCGGGCTGGAGTGCAGTGGCCGGATCTCAGCTCACTGCAAGCTCCGCCTCCCGGGTTTACGCCATTCTCCTGCCTCAGCCTCCCGAGTAGCGGGGACTATAGGCGCCCGCCACCTCGCCCGGCTAGTTTTTTTGTGTGTTTTTAGTAGAGATGGGGTTTCACCGTGTTAGCCAGGATGGTCTCGATCTCCTGACCTCGTGATCCGCCCGTCTCGGCCTCCCAAAGTGCTGGGATTACAGGCTTGAGCCACCGCGCCCGGCCGAAGTCAGCTTTTAAAAAAAGTTACCTTAAGAGAAGATATTGCTCTTCTGCTAAGCATTTCACATGGATTATTTAATTTACATGGATTATTTAATTTATATTGATTATTTAACTTGGATTATTTAATTTAATCCTTACAATAGTTAAAAAGAAAATGGAGGCATGGATAAGTTTGGCAACTTGCCCAGGCTCCACAGCCAATGAGCGGGCAGTAAGACACACTGCCTCTGGCAGGTATTCAGATGTGGGAGCCTTCGTCAGAGAGGCCCTACTTTACCCTCTAGCAGACTGACTTCCTGCCACATCTCCCTGTTTTTTCTATTTTTTTTTTTTTTTTTGGATCATTTCCTGAAATTGTCTTTCTGTCTCCTCCACTAGAATGCATGAGAACATCAGTTTTATTGTCCCCCTCTCTGTCCCCATGTCCCCAGTCCCTTAGAACCATTGGTTGGTGATAAGTGAATATTTGTACACTGAATTTTACTGGCTATCAACATAAAACTATTCGAATACTGAATGTAAGATATAAAATTATATAATTTATTAAGAGAAAAGGAAATTTAGAGATGTTTCAGCCCATGGGAACTTCTGAATGGCAATCCCCTGACCTCCTGGGGTGCCTTATTGCCATTCTCTGCTCCAGAAGAACTTGAAGGGACACCCCTGAAAAGTACCAGCCCACAGGGAAGCACTTTGCATAGCAATTTGCAGTGATGTGATTGGGATTTAGATAAGGGATCATCTCTAGGGAAAAGGATGCACCCAGGATGCCTTCTTGAGTCCTGATGACATGATAGGATTCCAGTAAGCATAGCAGCCCCTCACTGTGCCATGTCTTTTAACTAATTATAGCAATAATTAATTAATTGATTGGTGTGTTACGGCCTCTATCACAATGTGAGTAATAGTCTTAGAGGTGTCACTCCTGGGTGAGGTGTGTATGTACGTTGTGGGATTCTGCTCTTCTGTCAGTTTTGTATGTTTCCATTCCAAAATTGCGGTACTTCTGAAGTCAGTTGATTTCCTTCTGATATCCCTTCTCACCCTCCCTGTGTAGGAAAATTGAAGTCAGCCTTAATTTGACACAAAATGTTGCTCACCTGTGGGGTTTTGAAGGTTGTTTAAGAGGGTGAACCTATTTAAATGAACACAATATATTTTTTTTTTTCCTTTAGGAAAAACGCAAAGCTGAGGAAGCCCTCAGTGACCTCAGACGTCAGTATGAAACTGAAGTAGGAGATCTGCAGGTGACCATTAAAAAGCTAAGAAAGGTAGGCGTGTGGCAGCTGGACTTATAGGAACAGCCTCAGCATCTCAGTGTATCTAAGTCGTTAACAACCAAAAACATTTGGAATTCTATTGAAGTGGCACATAGATCAGATTTCAGAATCAAGGAATTCATTGGAAAGACCTTCTTTTCTTTTCTTTTCTTTTTTCTTTTTCTTTTCTTTTTTTTTTTTTGAGACTGAGTCTTGCTCTGTCAACCAGGCTGGAGTGCAGTGGCAAGATCTTGGCTCACTGCAACCTCTGCCTCCTGGGTTCAAACAATTTTCCTGCCTCAGCCTCCTGAGTAGCTGGGATTACAGGCACATGCCACCATGCCTGGCTAATTTTTGTATTTTTAGTAGAGGCAGGATTTCACCATGTTGGCCAGGCTGGTCTCGAACTCCTGACCTCAGGTGATGCGACTACCTTGGCCTCCCAAAGTGCTGGGATTACTGTACCCGGCCTGAAAGACCTTCTTTTAAGAGCCCCTTGAGTTCCTCTTTATTTTCCAGGGGCCACCTGTCTTTTTCATAGATCTGATCAATATTTTCTGATCTCTTCAACCGTTGTCCATAAAACTTCAGTTTACTTTCCTTGGTCTTCACCAGCGTAGTACTCAAGGCCTTCGTGTCTAGTGGACGGCATGCCTCATCACTGTTTTTCTTGGTCATGTCAAATATCCATGTGTCCCTATCCCTAGCTTATTGCAAAGTGCATGGTAAGTATTCAGGTAATATTTATTAAATGAAATGAATATTGCTCTTCTAAGTAGAAAATTTCAGATCGAGGGTACCCTGATCACCAAGAGTCACCTGTTTTTGAAGAAGAGCAGAACTTGTTGAAGTGTGAGCAAAGATGTGATTAGTTTTTTTTTTTTTTTAATGTAGTTGGTTTTTGGCTTTTCCTCTATTTGGTTTCTAATGAGCAGGTTCTGTTTGGGTCAGTCATATCTGGCCATTGTTTACCAGGTGGCTCTGTAGAGGGTGGAGGGAAGGGGAGGGATGCGTATCATTTGTCGATTTCCATGGTGTAAATACTCCTGTCATTGCTGATTTCATGCTACCAAGTTGATATCACTGAATTTAAGGTTGAGAAGAGATGCTTAAAGCAGACTCTCACCTGCCAGTACAGGCTGGCCCCAGCACTGTACTAGACACACTTCTTGGATCTGTTTTTCGTTTTTCCCATAACTAATGGGAATGTGTTAGCTAAAATGAAAATGGATAATTAAAGAAGGATCATCCTTGCTGGGCATGGTGGCTCATGTCTGTAATCCTAACACTTTGGAAGGCTGAGGCAGGAGGATTGCTTATGCTCAGGAGGTCAAGACCAGCCTGGGTGACATAGTTGAGATCCCACCACTGTAAAAGTAAATAAATAAATTAATTTAAAAAATTAACTGCATGTGGTAGCACACGCCTGTAGTCCCAGTGAGTCAGCAGGCTGAAGTGGGAGGATCACTCGAAGCTGGGAGAGCAAGGCTGCAGTGTGAGCCATGATTATGTCACTGCCTTAAAAAAATCAAAAATCATTTCTGAAAATGGTGATGAGATTAAGTGACAGTTAGCTATATTTTGTATTTTATACACTATTGCAATGTAAACCTCTGGGATGATTAAGAATTCTCCCCAGTAGCCTTCTTAGAAAATTAACATCAATTTGAACCTGATATCTAATTTTCAAAAGTTATTAGGCCATGCATACTATGCTTATATTACAGAATTGAATAGACCAGTCTTCTGTTTATGCTAGAACCACAAGTTCACTGAGTCAGCGCCCTGACTTATTTCTGTGGCTTCCCAAATCTTTAGACTAAGGGAACGTCTACAAGAAGAGATGCCGCAAATGTTGAGGGCCAAGTGGTCTGAACAGTAAGAAAGGCCATGTGTCGTGAGACCTGAATCCTTGTCAAAACTGTACCCATTTTTTCCCTGAAGCACCTGGGACAGTTCAGATCATCTTTCTGATTTTTAGTTTCTGATCTGTAAAATGCAATTAATAATAAACTGTCCTTCCTATCATAATGACTGATATTTTATTGACTTTGCAGTTCACTAAGCTCTTTTTCATGATTTAAAAAATCAAATTCTCAAACTTTCTCTGAGGAGGGAATAAATATCCTACTTTTAGAGATGAGGACTGAGTTCCAGAGAGGTTAAATAACTTGTTCAGAGTCACACCGCTAATAACTGATGGAGCCATCTTACTACACAGTTTGTGCTTTCTCACTTATACCAGACTTCCTGCATGCCTGATGTGGTTGTTATGCAAAACAGCAAGATGTTTATTTGAGAGTACGTTAAGGGCTATAGTTTACTAATTTGTTACAATAGCCACTAACTGTGTCCTTGATTCTGAGAAACTCATTTTTTCCAGGTGGTTTTTCTTCTCTGAAGTCAAAATGCGTGTTTAAATCAATGGCTCTTCTCAGTCATAGTCAGCCTTGTGGCAGTCATGACGTTTTTATGTAAACACTATCCCTTTATAGCATCTGGCAAGGTGAAGAAGGTCCAGAGTCAAAACACTTAGACTTGGTGAAATGTGGGATCCATTTTGATCAGTGCATAAACATTCTATAAATGAATCCCAGCAGATCCCCACCATTCCCAGAGGATGTAAGCTGTTTGTAGGAAAGGCATTTTGTTGTTGTTGTTGTTCTCCAGGTTATAAATGCTGTGGAACCAATTTAGTCTGGTAATCGTAACGAGTATGTAATTGTAATAGAAATGAGTCAACTAGCAAGCAAATCTCATGCAGAAATGAGTTAATCCTCAAGCAAAGCTTAAATGTAGGTATTTATATAATCAAGTGTGTTTGTGTCTCTAGCTTCATGTTATACTCAGATTTTATTGATTTTAGTTATTTAATAAGCATTTCTTGAACTCACCATGAAGAGAACACATAGGTGAATCGGACACTAATTCTGCTCTTAAAAAATCTTGCTCTCTAGGAGGGAAGGTAAGACATTTCTAAATAATTGTAATACAGAGTGGAAAGTGTTAAATGCAGATAATACAAAGGAGAATAGAAAGATCCAGATTTCAATGTAGCATAACTGAGTAAAAGCAAGAATTGGATTGCTTAATAGTTGAATGATTTCCAAAAAGGGCTTTTCAGCTGTTTCCAGAAAAGTTCATTTCACAACCAAACCCCCTTTTTCAGATGTTTAAATTATTTAGAACAAAATTTCAAATCCTTATGGATTTTATGTAGTTTAATGATTTATAAAGTCACATAATGTTGAAAATTGGTGACTTCTAGAATTCTCATATGTATATTCAAGGATAGTCCTACACTTAAAGCAATTCAAAGTGAGTTTGTAAGCACACAACTTTTATTTGGTCTTTCAGCTCGAAGAACAGTCAAAACACATAAGTCAAAAGGAAGATGTGGCTGCACTGAAAAAACAAATTTATGATTTATCAATGGTAAGAATTACCTTTTCACTTTCAGAAATGCACTTCCTGTTAGACCACATCATCGTGCTCTTATTTCAGTGTTCCAGGAAGACCAGCTTAAAGAGAAATTAATGCTATAGTTAGAAAAAGTCCTTAAAATACATTTGATCAAAGATATTATTTATGCAGGCTTTTCCCTCAATAATATGCCACTTATTGTGAAAGCTTTAACTTATTTTTCTTACAAAGTAGTAAAGACATAGTGTTTAAGTTTTGTAAAACATGGTAAACCCTGTATTCTTCCAACATCAGCTCTGGTCTGTACGATGTGATGCTTTGTGATGAGGATATTAGTGCCTTGCCCCTTCCTCCAAGTTTTTTTTTTTTCTTTTCTGTCGCTTTTCCATCTTACGCCAGCCACATCTTTACTTTTAGTACTAACAAAATTGATAACATTTACATCTCTTCTGTTATCTTTACTAAATTTTATTTATTTTGATTTTAGATTAACTCCCAAATTTGAAAGCAAATAAAGAGCGTTTTCTTTATTATGATTCTAAATATTTTCACTGCAGAGCTAAGAAATGAATGAGGCTTGCATTTCTTTCTCTCCATTCATTATCTCTGTTCCACTTAGAAGGTTCCCAGCTTCGTGGTCAAATGAATTCCTAGTTCCAGATTTTTCCACATCTTAGTTGGCTTCGTATTTGGGTAATGACATTCTTGTAGAGTTATTTGTTTTTCTTGGGTTTCTTGTTGCAAAAAGAAGCTCTACTATTTTCATGATATCACTGATACCTTAAGACTTATTTATTCTTTCCAATGCATGAAATTTGTTTAGTTTTTCTCCTTGAAAATATTAATTTTGGAGTCTATAAAATTTCAGTTCTTTTTTTTTTTTTTTTGAGGTGGAGTCTCGCTCTGTCGCCAGGCTGGACTGCAGTGGCATGATCTCAGCTCACTGCAACCTCTATCACCCGTGTTCAAGTGATTCTCCTGCCTGAGCCTCCCAAGTAGCTGGAACTATAGGCACGCACCACCACGCCCAGCTAACTTTTTGAATTTTAATAGAGACAGGGTTTCGCCACGTTGGCCAGGATGGTCGTGATCTCTTGACCTCGTGATCACTCACCTTGGCCTCCCAAAGTGCTGGGATTATAGGCGTGAGTCACTGCACCTGGCAAAATTTCAGTTCTTATTGGACTGTTTTTTAAACTTGCTACCCATATGTTCTGCAATTTCTTTTCACTGGGCTTTTCACCGAATTGCAGCATTTTGCATATTGCAATTTTTTGGGAGGAGAGGGTTTCATCCTCATTTTGCCGTAGCACATCCTCAAGAAACTTCTTCAGAAAGAACACGTGAGAGAGAAATTTTCTCTGTTTTTGAATATTTGAGAATGTCTACATTCCCCCTCACAATTTATTAAGTTTGTCTAGATAAATAGGCTTTTCTGGGACTCCTCTGGGATTTATTAATTTAATTCTTTCTCGGTACCATTTTTTTTTTTCAAATACTTGGCAGTGGTTGGTGATCTGTTCATATTTTAAAGTGAAGGACTAGCTTGGTTACTTGAGGTAGCTGGTGTAGGATCCTGTGGGGTGTGAACAGATCGACTCACCTGAAGGCCTCTCTCCCGAAAGAGTGTCTTCCTAGGAGCTCTGTGTGTGAAGCTGGCAAGGGACCCCAGGTACCAGCGTGAGTGGGGCCGGGATATTCAGAGAGAAGCCTTAGCTTTTTTTACAGGAGCCACTCAATTTTAAAAAAGATAATCTCTGTCTTGTCTTTAGAATCCACTCTGGCTCTCTACTGTTACTTGCTAGGGTAAGACAGGGGATGGGCTTGGTGGGAAGGGTGCCTTACTATACAGTTTTAATCTCTCTTTCCAACCCCATATCTGGTTCCATCTTTCTGGGGTTTGGCCTGGTCACTTGTCTCCTTCTGGGTTCTGTGTCAAAACCTTGAACACACTTCCTCTAGACTTCCATTTCTCCACTCTCTTCCCTTTGGCAACACATTTCCATCAGTTTCCATTTTCTAGAAGTGCGTTTAAGTCACTTGAATGCTCTGGCCCCCTCTTCCATTCTTTTAGCTGTTACTGGTTCATTTCCTTTGGCATTTCATTTTAATGAGGTTTTGGAAGGGGAAAAAGACAAATTCATGTGCTCCGTCCACCATCTTGAACGGATGTCTCCAATATTATTTTAAGAAAACACAGAAATTTTCGGATCACACTGGTTTATTTTTAAGTGCAAAACTTAAAATATTAAGTGATAGAATTTATTTGTAATAAGTAGCCAGTGTACCTACCAGGTACTATAGGTACTATTGATTCCACAAAATGTTTATCAATAATTTTATAGCTCTCATTAAATAAAGCAGACGTTCGAATGGTTGGTGTCAGTTAATTTGCCAGTAACGTGTTGAAATACATCATGGTAAACCCTTGACTGTTGTAGTTTGGTATCAAATATCAAGCATAGAAAAATGAAGAATAACTTTGAGAGTTTAGATTTTTGACACGACACTACTTCATTTCTCCTAGCCAGAGGAAAATATGAATCTAATGACCTCCACTTTTCCTTTTATCCAGGAAAATCAGAAAGTTAAGAAAGAGCTTTTAGAAGCACAGACAAACATAGCCTTCCTTCAGAGTGAATTAGATGCTTTGAAAAGTGATTATGCTGATCAGAGTCTGAATACTGAAAGGTATGAACTTTGCATTTTGTTTGTTAGTTTGAGTAGAATATTGAGATGATCATCTGAGCAAAAGAAGCAGCTCAGTTATGGAATAATGAAGAGTTAGTAACTTTGCTAATATCGTCTTTATTTTCTAAGGATTTTATTTTCAGTATCAGATTTCCCAGTGCTTTTTATGTTTTTAATTTTTTAAAGCAAATAGAATAATTATTGTCTGCGTAGGCTAGCGTAGGGCTTAATAAATGTTTGAATTAGCTGGGAGCTAAAAGAATGTACCTACAGTGTCAAGGGTTAGTGCTTATTAAAGTGCTTTGAAGTCAGGAATCCTGGCCATAAAACATAAGAAAGGGAAAAGTAGGCAAGTCGATTTTTGTGTGTGTTAGTTTTGCAGTATGGTGTTAATACAATAAATCCTAATACACATACATACACTCACAGACATGTATTTATATATAAGGAACATAGACTTGTATATTTTTACATGGATGGTAAATATAAAATGCATAGATAGGTGTATATGTGTGTATCCCCTAGGACATGTATGCTTGGGAAAAATATCTTTTTTTGGGTTTGTTTGCAAACTTTAATCGGAATTAAGGTCTTATAAGGTCTTAGAAAAGAGTGAAATATTATTGTTTACTACATACAAGTCTCTGAACTAGATAAGGAGTTATGAGAATATATATAAATTCTCAAAACATGGAGCCCACATCATATATATATCATATATATGATATATATATGATATATGATATATACATATGATATATGATATATATATGATGTGGGCTCTGTGTTTTGAGAATTTCAAATTTAGTTGGGGGAAAAAAAGCAAAAAGATTATAGGGTTTAACAACAGAAGAGCTAAAAAGTATCAGAAGCAGTGCCACTAACGTCGTCATGGTTTGGGTTAATTGCTTTGTGATCACAAAAAAGATTTTGTTTTAGTTCAGAAGAGGTGAAGAACTGTATTAAAGAGGTGATGCTGGAGGTGAGCCTAGGTAGAAAGATAGCTCTGTGCTGGGAAAGGGGGAAGAGGCAGCCAGGATGGCACCATCAGCAACTCAGAGCTGGTGGCACTGCTGCCTGCCAGGCACTGTCCTGGTCCTTCACAGGCATTAACTGATCCAGTGCACACAACATCCAGTGAGACAGGGACCTTCATTATGTCCATTTTACAGATGGGAAAAGAGAGTCTCAGAGATGTTCCAGGTAAGGCAGTAACCAAAGCAGGGGCCAGAACATAGGGAAGGATGCGGCTTGGGGAAAGGTGGTCAGACCACAGGGCAGAAGGAGACATTTTGAATAGAAAAGCAAAAGTTTAAAAAAAATTAAGACGTTTAAAAGCTAGTTTAAGGTTATAATAGAAGGCCCCCAAATTTTGGGTTAAAGAACTTAAATTCCTGTAGACAATTAGGAAATGTGTAGTTTTATTATCCAGGGAGCAGATGATATTGTGAACCAAAGATAGCCTGGGCGTTTTGGGAAGCTAGTGATGAGGTTTATGTGCTCAGTGGGATAGGGGCTGGAGGAGAGGCCGGTGTTCTGAGTGCAGTTTGGGGAAGAAGCCAGAGCTTCCATCATAAAGCAACAGAGGGATTGCCACAGGGTGAGTGTCGCATGAGCTTAGCAAGCCTGGTTCTTTGGGGGTCTCTGTGGTTTAGGTAAGGAGAGGAGGGAGGGCAGGAGTAGGGTGAGACAGGGAAAGAGGAGGAATCACAGGAAAGGAGAAAATAGATGGAGTTGGGATTATATAAGGATGAGCAGGGAAGGTTCAGAGGATTGAAGGCACAGTTTCTGAGACGCCCTAAGGAGAAGGGACTCAGGAGATTCAGCCCTCATGGAGAACAGAGCTGGGTCAGCAAGGGGGGGATGGAGGAGCTGGTGAGTGCTGAGATGGGCTGAGGAGGAGAATCTCTAGGCTTTTGATGTCGGAGGTGGGGCAGAGCCTCACAGGAGAAAGCACAGGATGTGAGTGTGTTCGTGGAGTAGCAGAAGGAGAGCAGGCCGCTGAGGCTACAGAGGCCCAGAGCAGGAGCACGGGAAAGGTAGAAAACTGTGGCCAAGGGCACTCGTCTTTGAAAAAGGTGGAAAAGGGTCTGGGAGGGTAGGTATAGATGAGGCAGGGCTTGACACCTAATTCTCACTCAAACATAAAATATAATTTTACAGGGATCTGGAAATAATCCGAGGATACACAGAAGACCGAAATAGTCTTGAGAGGCAAATTGAAATACTCCAGTAAGTTATCAGATCAAATGTTCATTATGTTTACATTTCACTTATTTTGTTGTTGATAAAAGACATAACACATAGAACGTGAGTTTGCCACGTTCTGAGGACTGCATTTGTGGCTCAGTGTGTGTTTCTTCTGAGGGTGTATACTTGGCATCTCCTCTTAGCTTTCTGATGCTTATAATCCAAAATAAATTATCCAGATGTGGGGAATGGAGTATAAATCTCTAAACATCTTGGGAAGTCAGGGGATATGTCCAGTGTGTCTTTATTATGCGTCTATAAAGAGGAACAGCCCTGAGCACTCAGCTTTCTCTGAGTTCTGTACTGCGAGTTTTTCAGGCTTCTATTAGTGGGGCCACAGGGCTCTGCCTCCACAATTCTTTCTCAGTTTGTTGTGTTTACTTAGAAGCATATTTTTCTTAGTTTTTTTTTTTTCCTCTCCCCAAGTAGAGATACACCCACTCTGTCAGCTTTATGACTAGGTTATAGCAGTTCCATCCTCTGAGAGTCTTCCCCACAAAACCTAGCCCTCTCCCTCCCCTTTCTTTCTTTTCCACCCGTGCCGCATTGTCTTCTGGTTTCAGTTCCTGCCAGTGAAGTCAGGTCAGGTTTGACCTTTTTTCTTTCCCACCATTTTTGAATGCTTATTAAATCTCACCTGTGGCAGTTGTAGAGTTCATGTATTTCAGTAATCCTTTGAGTTATTTTATTCATTCATTCATTCAACAGATTTGTCAGTACTTCTTACAGGCCAGGTATGCCAGGAGTAAAGGATAGAGTGGGAAGTGGGTGAAAAATCTCTTTCTCCTTATGGGGCTAGTCTAGGAGAAGAAGAGAGAAATGGATCAATAATTATAGAAATAAATATGAAAGGCCAAATGAGAGAGATGCAGCAAAAGAAAGGTACATGTCCCCTAAGGGGAGCTTTGGCCTATCAAAGAAGGTCAAGGAAGTGTTCCGGAGGAAGTGAGGATTGAGCTAAGATGCGAAGGGTGAACCAGCCTTAAGCTGGGGAAGGTTGGCCACTCTGTGGGGTAGGAGCTGTGGAATCATAGCTGTGCTGTACAAGAGGGTGCTGAAGCTCTGACAGCTTAAATGACTTCTGTTAAGTCATACGGAAATAAAAGTTAGGATTTGAACCCAGATCTGACTGAGATCATCACCCAAGTGTTTACCTGCTACACGACGGTGCCAGGTGGAACAGTGCCAGGCCGTGCATAGAATGCAGGAGCTGCCAGGAGCATGAGGCCAGATACAACACACTGCGTTCATCCCTGACCTCTGACATGTGGGAGCTGGCTGGCCAGGTTCAGGCATTTAGGGAGCTTTCGAAGACCTGCATGAAATCTGTTCAGTCAGTGGGGCTGCCTGAAGGAAGAGTGAGTTCCACAGCTCAGACAGGTGACTCCTGCAAGGCCCTGCGACTTTTAAGGAGGGAGGAGTCATCGATTCAGCTCTTCTACTTTAAGTAATGAATTACCTCAGTTTATGAGGTTTGAAGGGAAGTGGTGGAAAGTTGCAGAAGGTGATAAGCTATTCCACATTCTGAATGTTACAGCTAGAAAAGAAAGTGATGGCAGTGACCCCCCAGTGATACTTTCCCTGTCTCTCTTTCTGCTTGTTTCTTTACTCTGCAGAACAGCTAACCGGAAGCTACATGACAGTAATGATGGCCTTAGAAGTGCCCTTGAAAACAGTTACAGCAAGTTCAACAGATCTTTGGTATGCCACGTAGTTTTTTATCCTATATTTCATTCTTTCTAGTGGTGGAGTATTTTGGTGTTGATGAAAATAATGTAATTTCTTAAAGGAGAATGTCACATAAGTCCTTATAATAATGAGAAGATCTTTCTGTAAAATAAAACGAGGCAACATTCTTCCAAATTAAAAAGTATACTACCCCTCTGAAGAAATAAGTGTCTTGATGTTAACCAACTCTTTCTATAGATGTTCTAGGAATCTAGAGATAGGTGTGTAAAATGTAATCTTTGGCCTGAAAGAGTTTATCATGTAGTAGGAAGTTAAGATGTACACAGATAGATAGGAGAATCCCATAGAGGTGAAAATAAAATACTGCCCAGTTGAGAGCTGGGAGAAAGTGCTTCTGTCTGAGGGGTGAGTTTAGACTTGTGAGTATTCTTTATGCCCGTGAGATGCTCAGAATGGGAGCCTTGGATTTCAGACCCTCCTACAGAAATCAGCTTAGCTCATTTGGAATTGTAAGGGCCTCTCCCAGGCTGCCTTTGTCACAAGGCCTCTTATCCCGCTTGTGGAAGTCAGCTTCATGTGTGAGATTCCAGGGTCATATGGGGATATGGAGGGGTCAGTCACTAAGCCAAATTATGGTTCAAGAAGAGACACGTTCAAGGAAGTTGGTGGTTCACGGTCCTGGCAATGTGGGGAACCACAGTACTCCTTTATGGAATGTGCAGTAGGGTTTGGACGTAAGATAGGATGAGGAGGAGAGCATACTATGGCAGTCATTTTCATCGCAATGTTTCCCTTGACTTTTTTACTCACATTTGCTCAGGTAGTGTAATATAACTTTTAGTTATACTAGAAGTTTGAATAGTGTGATACAGTTTTAAAAAGTGGGTTTGTGTGTGCCTGTGTGTATGTAAAGTGTTTACATGAAAATTACATGAACTAACAAATAATTACTTCTATCTTACAGCGTATAAATAATATCTCACCAGGGAATACCATTTCTAGAAGCAGTCCCAAATTCACTGGTCATTCCCCTCAACCTCTAGGCTATGACAGGTATGTTAACACGTCCTCACTTTTTGTTCGAGTTCGGGATCACAGTTAAAAGAAAAGTAAATTTCCTTGGAGGTGAATTAAAATAATAGAATATATTTTGATCACTAATTTATATTTTCCATGATGTTAAAAGTTTCTAAAACACGAATCATGTAAAAATTAAAAGTGTTTCAGAGAGCAAAGTTATTTCCTGAAGATGTTATGAGTTGTTTTTTTATATACTCACCATTACCTCATCTCTAATCATGTCTTGTTTCTTAGACTCAATAAGAGATGTTTCAGGGGTGCAAGTAGAATTATGGTATATGATGCTGCAGTATTTCTGGTGTATAATGTTGAAACTATTGGCATGATCTGTAAATATTTAATAGCTCAGCATAATATTATGTGAGCTATGTTGCAGAAAAGGGAAACTTTCAAAGCAAATATAAATATGGCTAGTAGATCCTTATAAAATAGCTACTGTATTGAAGGAGTCGCAGAGGCTTACCAAAAGTTAGAATTTAGCCCTGCATTTAAGCAAATGAACTGAAATATTAGGCCTTTTATTACGTGAGACCTAGTAATCACTTAGAGATTACACGAGTGTATGTGTATGTTTATACACATATGTCCAGTGTTGCTAGTTAAAAGTTAATTTTCTAATATGTCAAAAATTTGAAATTGGAAGTGAAAGCATAAACATAAAGTTTCCAATTCTCTATATCTTTGTGACTTTTAGCTTCATGTTTATCCCCTTTTCATTGGGGTACTTTTGGTAACAAAAATAAGGTACCTAACATCCTGGTGTTAGAAATAGTCAGGTTGCCATTTAGGAAGACCTGTTACGAAGGCTTATTGGTGACCACTTCCAAGAAAATTCTATCAGGTTTAAGTTGTTTCTACTGTTTACTGATTTGCTCAATAAAAAAAATCTAATGGCTTGATTTATAGATAGCTGATTATTCTGTTATTGAGAAATAATAGATTTTTTTTAAATGTGTAGGTGTGATGTCATTTTTGACTAATATTTAAAATGATTCTAAGCAATTCTGGGGGAAAGCTATACAACTGAAAAGGATTTCAGAAATTTCCCTGTGATTCATTTTGAAAAGATTAGACATCATGAAAGGCTCATAAGAACTGGAGTAGAGCTCATCAACAAAATATTCTATGGGACAAAGTCATCGCGTCCCCAGCATGTTTGAGTGATGTAGCACTCATGTGCCTACTTCCTTGAGCTGTGATGAGAGACCACCATAGCCTCAACACCATGCCCTTTCTGGGTGTGTGTGTGTGTGGGGGGGGTGATTATTTTGATATAAGAAGTTAACATTTTATTTTCTTTTTGATGCTCATATAAAAATGTAATAAAAGCATGTACATCAAATTAGATGTACAATAAAATTATATTGTTTTTATAGCTTTATTTGGTTTTATCTTTAAAATTTATGTTGGCTTTGTTTTTTGCAAGAACTCTAACAAAAATTTAATTTGTTTTGTAATTTTACGTAGTTAATTATAATGAAAATATTGAAGGGCGGCAAGATGGTTGACTTTGAAAAGGATATGCCGTTCAATTGAGTTTGAGAAAGTTTGACCTGTACCTGTGTTTTTATTTTTATTATTTTTACTTTGAAAAGTTTTTCAACTTTTATTTTAGATTCGGGGGTACATGCACAGCTTCGTTATATGGGTATATTACATAATGCTGAGTGTGCCTATATTTTCAATTTAGAGTCTAGATGTTTATTCAGGTGAATTCTTAATTTGGGACTTCATGTTTTCTTTGCTCCTTGTCAAAATACAAGTGGGCTTAAAATAAATCATAACCAGTAGTGAAGACATGGAGCTGAAGTAGTTTGTAGTAGATTATAACTAGAATGGTTTTCTTATGTACTTTACAGATGGACCTAAAATCAGTTTCAGAAGGAGAGTTTTATAAATAATGCAATAATATGTTAGCAATATATTTTCAGTGTTATTGTTAATAATACATATTAACAATAAATATTAAAATATATTAATGTATTTTATTATTGCTATTAACAATATATTAACACACACTCACGCACACATGCACACACCTAGCTAGCTGCATAGATTGAAATATGATATAAAATTCTTGACTCAGAATAAAGACTTTATAATTAAGCAGTATTGAGAGAGAGAAAGTTAAATCATCTTTTTAGTTAATTTTAAACATTTGCTAATGGCATAAAAATACTTTTGACTTCTCAGATTTACATGGCTCATACTTAATTATATTAAGCTCACCTCTCATCTAAGCATGTCTACTTCTTGTTTCTCGTATCTGAAGACCTATGTATCGTGCTTATTCTCCCTTTCCAGTGATTCATGTAAGCATATTGGTAGGATGGTGCCCATGGTGTGTAGTGGGTGGTAAATAAGTCATAACCATCATTGGGTAAACTTAGATTCTTATGGAAATCAAATGGAAAAGCAAAAGTAAACAGGGATGTATACAGTTTCTTTTGATTCTCTTGTTCGATATGAATTTCTCCCTCACTTATAACATCTCCAGAGTTTCACTAATGTTAAGATCTATATAAGTCAGGAGTTCGAGCCTTTATCTGAGGCACCTCCCTCCCTATGAAACATCTCCCAGAAGGGTGTTTCCAGACGCTGTGTCAACATTTAGTGGCAGAAAACTTACGTGTCAAATCATACATTCCAGCAATGTTTCTAATTGCTTATCATTTTCATCAGATGTTTCTAATTGCCTATCATTTTTTGCCGTGTTGATTAGAAATATAACACCCAGAAAAGCTTATCTTACTTTGTCTTGTGCAACCTGAGAGGATGTGATCATCTTCATGTATCAGCTCTTCAAGTATTTGAAGAGAGAAACCGTTAAGGGTTAAGTTGAGTACACCGAATCTTATTTTTCAGATCTGAGGGTCTTGAGTCTGACATTGTGGTTGCCTTTTCCATTTGGGCTCTCAGCAGCCCTTTTAAGTACAGATGTTATCCAGAAATGGACACAGTGTTCAGAATATAGTCTGACCACCTTAGAGTAAAAAGGCTCATATGTTCTGCATACATTTTTATAAATACAACTTGAGATTGTGTTTATGTCTTAGGTACCCTCATTCTTTTTGTATCAGGAAATAACATGATTTTTTAAATGGCCTTGTTTGTTGAGTGTTTGATGTAAGGGTCTTTATCTTAACTGATTGCTGCATAGAATGAACGGATGCTGCTTTGAGCATTTTATGTCCCCTAATGCCTAATCATGAAATACACTGCGGCTCTTAGCAAAAGTGAGAACATCGGCCTACTTGATTCCATCTAATAGCATGTGGTCTATTGCCTGTACGTTCTTGAGCATCCCCAGCCCTCGGTAAATTGGTCTTCCCCTTTATTACCAGGTCATCCCGCTCTTCCTATGTGGACGAGGACTGTGACTCCCTGGCCCTCTGTGATCCTCTGCAGAGGACAAATTGTGAAGTTGACAGCCTGCCTGAAAGCTGCTTCGACAGCGGCTTGTCTACCTTGAGAGATCCCAATGAGTATGACTCAGAAGTGGAATACAAGCACCAGAGGGGATTTCAGAGGTCACACGGGGTGCAGGAGAGCTTTGGAGGTGATGCTTCAGACACAGATGTAAGCCCTAGAAACCACTGCTCTCCTAGGCCTTCTACGTGATTGAAATCTGTCACCTTATTTACCTTCTATCTGTTATGGGAATCTGTTTTAAAGGTCACAAACATAAAGCATAGTTAATAAAATACTTTTTTCTCCACAGAGTTAGGGAGAAATTCTCATAGATTGCCATTCACTGTCACTCTATTCCCAAATATTAATAGCATTGACTGTTGATTTAGTTGCATAGTTTTCTTCTTTTTAATCCATCATATATACATTTTAGGCTTTGTTTCTTAACTGCTGACATTTTTTAAAAAAATAGGTTCCTGACATAAGGGATGAAGAGACATTTGGTTTGGAAGATGTGGCTTCCATCTCAGACTGGAAGCCCCAAGGAACTGTTAGTGAAGGCAGCATTGTTAGTTCATCAAGAAAGCCCATCTCAGCACTCTCCCCCCAGGTAGGTGTCTCTGAGACACTCCTGTTCATGAACACTGCTTCTTTTCTGTGCAGTGTTACTTATTAGGATGAAAACTGGCAATACCTTTATCATTCACTGTGGCTTTTCCCCCCAGACAGACCTGGTAGATGACAACGCTAAATCTTTTAGCTCACAGAAGGCTTACAAGATTGTGCTTGCTGGGGACGCTGCAGTGGGGAAGTCTAGTTTCCTCATGAGACTTTGCAAGAATGAATTTCGAGAAAATATAAGCGCCACCCTGGGTATGGCTCCTATTTTGGTTGATAATGGGAAAATGGTCTTCCTTAGCTCGATTTTCTCGTCTTCAGGGATTACATACACAGATACTCAGTTAAACAGTTTTCTCTTTCTCTGTGTATGTGCACATATGTAGGGGTGTGTGTGTGTGTGTGTGTGTGTGTGTGTGTTTGTGTGTGTCTCCTAGTCTATGGAAAGGTCCTTCTTGTTTTGGCCAAGGCCTGCTTTTAGGAAAGGAAGACTAAAAGGACAGAGATATCTGGCTGGGTGCGGTGGCTTATGCCTCGGCACTTTGGGAGGCCGAGCCAGGCGGATCACTTGAGGTCAGGAGTTCAAGACCAGCCTGGCCAACATGGCGAAAGCCCATCTCTACCACAAATACAAAAACTAGCCAGGCATGGTGGTGGGTGCTGGTTGTCCCAGCAACTCGGGAGGCTGGAGAGTCGCTTGAACCTGGGAGGCGGAGGTTGCAGTGAGCCGAGATCGCACCACTGCACTTCAGCCTGGGTGACAGAGTGAGACCCTGCCACAAAAAAAAAAAAAAAAAAAAAAAAAAAAAAAAAAAAGATATCTGCTTAGCCAATCAGATGAATCAAATCAAATTTAGAGCCTGAGATATCAGATTCATTTATTTGGCATGGATTTCCTGAGTCCCACTAAAAGCAAGATGCTGTTGTAGGTGCAAAGGATACATAGTGAAGAAGGTTGACAATCCCAGCCTGCACTGCACTTACGTCCCAATGGAGGGAAAGGGTACAAAAAAGAGGTTTAGGGAGTGGTGCAGTTTTACACATGTGGCCAGGAAAACCCTTTCTGCTAAGGTATCATTTGATGTTAACAGAGTGAAAATATGGATTGCCACTTTGTCATTATGGTCAAAACCATAGCCAGATATATGCTCCGTTCCCCACCTTCACAACAGAACAGTAGAACAAGTAGTATCCTGATTTCCCAAATGTGCATAATAATCAGTAAAAGGAGCTGAAGATATGCAAATTGTCATTTATTTTTCTTCTTCGTCTGAAGAATTCTTATTTTGATCATCCGAAATGTTAGAACAGTCCTCTTCACAATGGGTGTCTTTGTAAATTTACGGTTCTCTGATACACTGTTCAGGATAACAAAGCTGAAAGTTTACTTCAATTTGATTCATAGAAAGACTACATACAGTATTTGGTTCAGTTGTCAGAGACCATGATGCATGTAAGTGTGTGTGTGCTCTAACGTGTGTATATATACACACACATGTGTATACATGTTTAGATATACATACATTTATACACATATACCTACATATACACATACATGCATATACACAAAATATGTGTCTGCACCTACACATATACATACACATATACACCTGCACATTCACGCGTGCCCACTCATACACACATGTACACACACCCACACACACACACACAAATATGACTGAGTTCATCCAGTCATCAGGGAAAATAAAACATAGATTTTTTTCCCTTGGCTCATAAATTAAATCATTCCCCAAGTCAGCCAACCTGCAGATGGTGCCTCTGCACACACGTGTGGTCTGACTTGCCATTCCTATTTGAAGGTCACTCTCCTTAAAGGTCATGTTCATTCCTCCCTCCCTGGCTGAGCTGTGGCTTATTGGCTTTTGCCTCATCTGAAGAGGGCTTGAAAGTAAAAAGCCAATGGAATTATTTACATCATGCTCTCCACTCTCATGTTCCTTTTCAGGAGTTGATTTCCAAATGAAAACCCTCATTGTGGATGGAGAACGGACAGTTCTGCAGCTCTGGGACACAGCTGGTCAGGAAAGGCAAGTGCTTTCCGCAGCGCTGTGGGCTCTCCTGGGTTTGCACTAACAAGTCTTGCAGGCCACTTGATGTTCTTCATACTCAAAATTCTATAATTATAACATACTTTATAATTATATGTATAATTACATGTGTAATTATAAAGTGTATTATAACTGTAAAATGCTTATCTTTTCGCACATCTCCTCCTCCTTCATTTACCTATGACTGCTGTGAGAAGAGGATCTTTAAGCTTCTTTTGAGCCGATGTTCAGTTGAGACAGAGAGTGTCCTTTGCTAACAAGAGAGGCAGCACTTTTGAGTGCAGTGACAGCCTGAGGAGCTCCCTGGCTGTAGAACAATAAATGATGGAGAAGAGAACCAGTCAGCTCCCCTTGATTAAGGGCAGAGGCACAAACCAGATAGCGGACTCGCATCTCGTGGTGGCAACTTACCTTGCATTCCTCACCGATAAGCAGAGCATGCAGCACCGATTTTAACCTTGTCTGACTCCTTGGGAACAAAATCATTCAGTTGTTCAACCCATAAGTATGGGATGCCTGCCTCTGTACCAGGCATTATTCAGCATGCTAAGATTCAGTGGTAAACAGACAGGCATGAATACCTGCCCCCATGGCACTCATATTCTCTAGCAGAGTGGGAATTTCAACATTTAAACAATATCTGTGGTTGACATGACTGTATTTTTAAAGTACTTATGAAATATTGCACTGGGTTTCGAGTTAGGGCATGTGTGTTGAGGTGTGCTCTTCCCACGGCAAATCCCCTGACCCCCATGTGTGTAAAGCCCTGGTATGTTACGGCATTCCACACGGGTAGTTCCTCCACCCACCCACCTACAACACTCCCTGACCAGCAGCAAAAATCAGTATTCTCTAGTTTGTACCTCCGTCCAGCCTCCTCTGTCCCACATGTGGCTTCTGGTAGCTTGTTGCTGAGGTTGAAATTTTTGGGAACTGTGCCCTCAGCCTTGCCCTGGTTATGCTCTGGGGATTGTAGACATTGTTGGGGTGGTTTGGTAGGGAGAAGGATTGGATTTTCTAAGTCGGTCACCCAGACTCTCATCCTGCTACCTTTCATTGGGTCATTCGAGACCTTTGACATGGCTATTTCTCAGTCGTATATTGCAGTGAGAGTCTTCTCAATTTGGGGTTGATTTTAGAAGATGAGAAAAAATGAGCATAAAAGAGAAGACGAATGAGGCAACACAAACTGACTGATGATGTGGTTTTCTCTTTCTCAGATTCAGAAGTATTGCCAAGTCTTACTTCAGAAAGGCAGATGGCGTTTTGCTGCTGTATGATGTTACGTGTGAGAAAAGCTTTCTCAATATACGAGAATGGGTAGATATGATTGAGGTAAGAAATCACAATGGAGAAACAGAAAATTACATGAGGAAGTTTTAGGCCATCTTGGAAAATGCTGTTGCTCTTCTTTGTCGGAATGAACTTGATTAGGAACCGTTGATCCAAGCCATCAGGAAGAACTGGATGCTACAGGCAGAACTGGCAGCATTCATCTCTTCCTCAGGATTTGGGCACGTTTCCCTGAAGCCAAGGACACTAATGAAGGAAGTTTTAGGGAATAAAACTTCTAGGTTTTCTTATAGATAAAATCAGAATCCCATTGTAAGCAAGTAAAACTCCAGATCGCCTAGGAAGAAGCTATTACAAACAAGGAGATGGTGTGGTTGGGTGTGTAGTGTAGTTGAGGGCATGTAGGGGCGTCCATGGGCATGGGAAGTACAGGTGAAACACCACCTGGATATGAGTGTGTGTCAAGGTTCAGATTGTATGGGAGCTCTCTTCTCTTCTCAGCCTTATTCAGGTAGTGATTTGGGATCTTTAGATGTCTCAGGGTACTACCGAAATACCAACTGGTATTTTAAATGTGAGCGTAGCTTCTGTGCTTTCTGTGGTTAAGTAAGATGATGTCTTTCACCTGAGGAATGTTTCTGCCCTCTGTTTTCATGGTAAATAATTTTGAAAAGTAGGAAATGATTTTGACCCCATTTAGCATGCTGCCAGCAGTTATTAACATAACACTACAGTTCAAGCTATGGTTCAGCATGCTCTCTTGAAAAATAAAAGTAGCGGCTAATACAACTTTTCAAGTAAGTATATTATCTATAATTTAAGCAGGCATCAAATTGCAGTAGTGGCTGAACAGAGGACTGGTTGCTGTCTGATCTCAATTTAGCTTCTGGCATTATTGTTCACTTTCTAACTAAAGAAGTAATGTGAGAAATGACGGATTGCAATTGGCAGTCAGACTTGAACAGTGATAAATAAATATGCACTGTGTTCTACCAACTTATCATGACTTAAAATGATTGTAAACACAGTGAAAGTGTGTTTACATTTATGTAACATTTTTACTTCACAAAATTTCCCGTGTTATAGTCATCTCTCTAGCATCTGAGAAATGAAATAAAAAAACATTATCCTAATATTTTGTGAGAAAGTTGAAGCATAGAAAGCATAGGTAGCACTTACTTATTTAGTGGTTAGGAATAGAAGAGGGGCTCACACCAAACCTCCTGATTCAGCAGTGGTTGTCGTTTTGATAAAGCACCAGCATGAGCAGAAGATTACTTGAAGAAGCCTCTGACATCAAGAAGGAATCCCAAGGCCTGTAATTCCAGCACTTTGGGTAGTCAAGGCAGGCAGATGGTTTGAGCCCAGGAGTTCAAGACCAACCTGGGCAACATAGTGAGACCCCATCTGTACAAAAAATACAAATATTACCTGGGTATGTTAGTGTGGACCTCTAGTCCCAGCTACTTGGGAGGCTGAGGTGGGAGGATCACATGAGCCCTGGGAGGTCGAGGCTGCAGTGAGCCATGATTGTGCACTGTACTCCAGCCTGAGTGACAGAGCGAGACCCCCATCTCAAATATAAAGAAATCCTAAGGTGTAATTAGAGCATAGAGGAGCGGTGGCTATGCAAATGAACAAATGGAGATCCCTGGGATAGAGCAGTAAGTCCAGAGAATAACAGATAACCCTAACTCATCTATACTAGTGTTTATAAAATCCACAGCAAAATTGTTTTATTGTTGACATTTTGGATTAGTCTTTATTTAAAATCTTTGGGTTATGCTGAAGAAAAGGAGGCACAAAAGCCTAGAACAGCCACAGCGAAATAAGCCTTATGTCGAGTGGCCCACTGCCATAATTTGCAAAGCACCTTCGCGAGCTAAGACATCTTTTCTGCCATTGGTATCACCTTTTCATAGGGTCTGAAAAGGAAGAAAACTATAGAAGAGATGAATTCTTAAATTTGTTCTGGATGAAAAATTAGATACTACTAATGGCGTTGGACTTTCACCTTAGAAAAAGAATGGGCACAGCGAAGTTTCTCCATGGCTTACTCTTACTAATTTGAGGAAATCCTGCAGGGACAGTTTGTATGGCTACTGTAAATATGGGTAGAAATGAGTGGTGTGATCACCTGGATAGACCAGAGGATTAAGAAGCAGTAGACTGTCAGCGGTGAACAGACCCTCTTCATTAATAATTGATACACCTCGATGGAAAACTGCTGAGTTAAAAAATCTTGTAATAGAATTATGGATAAAGTAAAATTATAGCCATTTATTTACCTGGCATGAATATTTTATTGATTGAATATTTGGGTAAAAGCTGAATGGAGATACTTGAGATGTAAGATCTCTTCCCAACATTCAAAAATATTTTTTGACTATCTACCCGGTTCCTGTGTAGCAGTCTAGGTTCTCTGTGTAGCCCTATCCTTATGGAGCTTGTGTTCTAGTAGGGGAGACAGATGAAAAGCAGCAAACATAGATCAGTAAATGAAATGATATGCTAGAAGGTGATAATGTTATAGAAACAAAATGAGAGCAGGTTGAAAGGCCTGACGATGAGGAAGTGGGCTGCTGTTTTCATCAAGGCAGCCTCACTGCGAAGGAGATATTTAAGTTGAGACTTGAAGGAGGTGCCCTTTACCTCTGTGACTTTGAGGCGTCATTTAGATGCCTGGATTCTTGGGCTTACTGAAATGAATATTTGACTAATAACTTTCAAGTGATGCCCCTTGCATCCTGAGATCATCAAAGAAGACAATTAACTAGCACATGAATGAGTGAAACAGCTAATTTTGGAGAAGGCCATTCATTCCCGTCTTTCCTTTGATTTTATTACACTCTGGAGCCTTCTGTCCAAGGAATGTTGCCTGAAGAGAAAGGAACTCAATTACAATTTCATGTTGCGGCACGTTTTTTGATCCTGCATCAGGAATAGCCCCAAATCCAATAAGTACGCAGGTATCTTTAGTCACTGCAAAGAGTAATTTCCACATGTTTTCCTCAGGGCTGCCCCTTCTCTTATGTAGGAACCAGAAACTTGTGTTTCTGTGCTAGTCAGGTTGTCTTGTATTCTCATCATAGCCTGCTGAGGTGGGGTATGCCCTCATTCAGTCCTTCATTTTACAGACAGGGAGACTACAGCAGAAACCTGCGGAGAATTGCCTGATCTCACACAGCCAGTGGGTCCAACTGGTGGAGGGGTGGGTCTCAGACTTGACTCTGCCACACTCTTCTCACATTCTATGAGTTCCACTGTGACTCTGGGACCCTGTGACCATTGCACAGGCTGACATGGGAGCCTTATCTTAGAAACCATTACTTTGAAAGATTGGTCCTTGACTCTTTCTTAGAAAAATGTTGACCTTCAGGACTTTTATATTTTGCTTTTGTTGTAAACCAGAGAGCAGTGAGTGTGGAACTTCCAAACTGCCTTTTTGTTTCATTATAGCTGAAGAATTACTGTGTGTTTTATGACTATAATAATGAACTTGACTTGTGATCACTAGTGTTTGAAGTAACAATTGTAGAAAATTATGTGGGCACCACAGCCAAATATGATTCTATGGTCATGCCTTTTGAGTTGATATTGACTTGTTGTGCTCTGTGTGCTAGAGATAAGAACTTAACAGATATGTGTTTCCTTTGCCGTAAAACTGATTAATCCCAGTGCCTTTTAGCCTTTTCATTAACCTAAGGATGGGGCATTGTGTAGAGGCAAGGGTTATGGAGTTAGTTTGGACCCAGGCCCTGACCCTTATACCTTCTTATTTAATGTCTCTGAATTTCAGTTTTCTCTTCTATAAATGGGAAAATGTTTGACTGTTTTTAGAGATGCGTTGGGGTTTAAAGATATCCTCTATATAGGATTTGGCACAAAGGGGGCAAAGGGAAAATGGCAATTGCTGTTGCTGTTGTTCTGTGGTCAGCGTAATGTGTCCAGTGTTTCATGTGTGCCCCACTTTTCTTTCTTCCTGGTAGGATGCAGCCCATGAGACTGTTCCCATCATGTTGGTAGGAAACAAGGCTGACGTTCGTGACACTGCTGCTGCAGAGGGACAAAAATGTGTCCCAGGGCACTTTGGAGAGAAACTGGCCATGGTAAGAGTGAGGAAGCCTCAGAGTTGGAAGAGAACATAGGGGTTTGATGGCTTTGAAGTCAGTGACCTTTCACTTTTGTCTACCTTTGCTTGAGAGGTCCTTTGACAAACCTCCCCCATCTCAGGCATCTGTCCTTACCACAGGCAGAACTGCCATGACTCCCACCTCTTTTATGCCAAGGATTAAGTCCCTTGGGAAAGTAAAACAATCGCATAATCATTTTCTCCCATTGAGTATCGTTGACAAAAAGGAACCTAAATAATCCCATCATCTTCCTCCTCCCTCTCACCTGGTTCCTAGAAACCTTCTCTAGTCCTGGAATCCAAGTAAAGGAAGAAAATGGTGTCCTGTTTTGAAAAGATGGCTTCGGTTTCAGAGGGTTATAATGCCAAAGGTAGAAGATGGTACAGTGTCTCACCTGTGTGGAAGGGAATTGGAAGACTTCTTCTCTGAGATTTGTGTCTAGTTGATACGAAAAATCACTCCCATATACAAATGCATACACATTTTGGGGTATGCATTTGTATACAGGAATAAACTCATTCCTATTCAGATTGTTGTCATGGACAGTGTTTATTCTCCCGTCAGTGTCATCTGTCATCATGTCAGAATGCTACCTGGCTCTCTTCTGACCTGTCTTACCCATACAAGTACTTAGATGCACTTTGGGGCAAATCAGTTCATATTGCAGCAGTCTGATTTGATGTTGATAGTGTTGTCTGTCGTCAGCACCAGGAAAGAACTACTCTGTAGCATATGTATGTGAACTTCAAAAGGAAGTTTCAGTTTTAATATTTTAAGCTGGAATAATTGTTCTTGTTTTAAAATTTAGAACTGCACACCAAATGTGATAAGTGTCAAAACTAGGCAATGAAATGCAGAAGAGATTCATTCAATCCGTATTTATTGGTATCCACCATGTAAAAAAACACTTCATTATGTGTGGGCCAAGAGCAGAGAACACAGTGAACAGTCCTTGCCCTCGTATTGTTTACTATCTGAGGGAGACGGATGTTAAGCTCATGAAATCCACATGCTAGACACAGTCCCACACAGCCACTTTGAGATCTAGTTCTTCTTGGCTGCCTGCCAGCTTTATTCCCTCTCCACGATTTCCCAGAGTTCCCAAAGTTTGCTTCTTCATGCATCGTGTGACCTCCATAGTCCCGCATCCTCAAAGGCAGTCTCTGTTTCATCCCATATCGCCCTGGATGTAGAGGTCAACACCAGCACTGACGGTTTCTACCAGAAATGCATTTGCTTTGTGGTGTTTGCAGATTTTCTATGGATTTGTGGGCTCATGGGTAAAGTTCCCATTGTGGCGTTTTTCCCCATTTCCTGGCTTTTCTTATTCTTTCTGTTCTAGAGCAAGTGTCACCTCCTTCCCGTGTTCCACACAGGACTGTTTAACCCACACCCAGGCCCACAACACTTAGTTCTCCTTTATTAAGAGAAAACGTCTCCAGCTGGTCAGACAAAGATACACAAAAATAACTTGAGCAATTATAATTGTGGCAGTTGCTGTGCAGGAGGATCAGAGAGTGCTTGGAAAGTTTACGATGGGAAGTCCTAATACAGACTTTTCAGGGTTAGGAACGACTGAATCTTAACTTCAAGGCAGCATTCCCTAAAAATCCCAAAAGTAGGTTAGGTGTCGGACTGGTGGAGGGTGGAGGGAACCTAGGTGATGGGAAGAGCAGGTGCAAAGGTCCCGAGGTGCAAAGGCTTTGCGGACACTGGAGAATTGGAGGAAGGCAGAGGAAACTGCAGCTCTGTGAGTGAGGGGGGATGAGTGAGGTGGAAGGTGAAGCTCGGAGCTTGCCTGGGGGGCCATGTGAAGCTGGGCCTCATTGGCCATGGAAAAGCATTTGTACATTATCTAAAGAGGAACAGGAGGCATTGAAAGATTTGAAGCAGGAGAGTGACATGATATCATATGCACTATGGCTGGGAGGTTGCGTAATAGAAGACTAGAGCGTATCCTTTGGTTTCAGCAAACATGGAGGCTGCTGGAGCCAGAAAGGAAAAGTTAGCGGGAGGGAGGGTGTGTTAGCTGCTGGCCAAGAGGAAACAGACTCTTGATGGACATTTAAATCCTGAGTGGTTATCTTGAACTCATTTTTATCTGTCTTGGAATATTTGATAAAGAACATTTGGTAGCATGTGTTTTGACTGTTGGAAATAAAAACCTTAAAACATGAAATGTTCTATTTTTTTAAATGTGAAGTAAAAATCCTCCAACTAGGAACTGTTCCTGGAGTAACTATGCTTAAATCATTTTCTTTGTAAGTACTGGAACTCTGAATTCAGTTTCTTAGCTATTAGTTACTCTTAGCATGCTCAGTAGGAACATATTTTTATTTTAACTGATTTTAAAAGCTAAAATTTCAGGAAACTCAATGAAGGGCTTCATTTAATTGTGTATATTTCTTTTCTACAGACGTACGGGGCATTATTCTGTGAAACAAGTGCCAAAGATGGTTCTAACATAGTGGAAGCTGTTCTGCACCTTGCTCGGTAACGTTTGGGAAAATGGATGTAGGACTGAATTTTCGCTTGTTGCATATGTCACATTTCTTGTCCAGAATGTGCAGATAGAATATATGTGGGAAAACACTCTCTTATCTTTCAGTCATGGTGGGAGAAATAAATATGTGGATATTATAAAAACTGGCAACGTTGCTGTGAACCCTGGCAAAATATCTTTACTGCCAAACAAAAGAGGTGCATCTGAGGTGTCGTTGACATTTCTGAAAAATGTCACCACAAAGTTAATAGTTGACTTGTATGAATCATTTCCAGGAACCAGATTTTATACACAAGGGACTATTATGAATACAACTGTCAATTATGATATTTCCCCGGGCAAAAGGGGGGAAAAAACAAAGCAAATGTATGTCATGCCAGTTAGAAACACTTTGTCAGAATTATTACCTAGGTAATTATTAAGCTAAGGCAATAGTGTTAATAATAAATAACACTTGGGATGTACAATAGAACGAAAATAGCGTCATTAAAGAACTTGGATATAAATGTATGTGGTTTAATCCTTGAAGTAATTCTTAGGAAATAACATTATACATTAGATTTTTCCCTTCTACCTAGTTTTCTGCCATAAATGAGAAGATTATTCTTTACTGGCCTAAAGGGATTAAATATCAAAAAAGGAAAAAAATCAAAGTGTACATTACAAAATTCAGAGCAATCATCTTTAATTGCAGACAAAGTTAAAATATAACTTTAGGCATGTCATTCTTTTTCTGATTATTTGTAAGGTTTTATAAGAATCTTAATTTTAGTATGATAATTGGCCTCTTCTGCTGGTGAACATTGATAGTTAAAATACTTTGCAATATCTTTAATGCTGTTTTTCAATTAATGACTTAGGGCCGGGTGCAGTGGCCCACACCTGTAATTCCAGCAGATCCCATTGGTTTCAGCAACATGGAGGCTGCTGGATCCAGGAAGGAAAAGTTAGCAGGAAGGAGGACGTGCTAGTTGCTGGCCAAGAGGAAACAGATTCTTGATGGACACTTAATTCCTGAGTGATTATTTTTATCATTTTTATGAGAGGCAAGGCAGGAGGATCACTTGAACCCAGGAGTTTGAAACTAACTTGGGCAACATAGTGAGACCTTGTCTCTATTATAAAAAAAAATATATATATATATACACACACACACATGTGCACACATACACACATATATATGTATGCACACAAACATACACACACACATATACACATTAATGACTTGGCATTTATAGTGCTTAATAAAATAGAGTTCTATTAATAGAATGTTTGGACTAGGGCCACGTGATAAACTATTGCCCCCACTTAAGAGAATCAGGATATGGACTTCGGGTGTCCTGCTTGGCATTAGTTTGTGGCAGGCTTGGCAGATGCCCTGTATTCACACTCAGAGTCTTTGAACATTTCCCTCTTTGACATCAGTCCAGGAAAGATAGCCACCTCCCCCTACAACACTGGAAATCATTTTTGTTTCAAGCAAAAACAGTGCTAACCTTGAATGTGCCCTAGCACATTTTTTCCTTTTGCAGTAGGCTGTTTTGTGCATCTCTGTAAAGGAATACCCGAGACTGCAATTTATAAAGAAAATAGGTTTAATTGGTTCATGGGTTCTGCAGTCTTTACAGGAAGCTTAGTGCTGGCATCCGCTTGGCTTCTGGTGAGATCTCAGGGAGCGTTTACTCCTGGTGGAAGGTGAAGGGGAGCCAGCGTGTCACATGACGATGGAGCGAGGAGTGGGGAGGGGCTACACTCTTTTAAACAACCAGATCTCCTGTGAACTCAGAGCGAGAACTCACTCATCACAAGGGATGGAGCTCTGCCATTCATGAGAGATCCACCAGCTTGATTCAATACCTCCCACGAGGCCCCACCTCTAACACTGAAGGTCAGATTTCCACATGAGATTTGGAGGGGACAAACCTCCAAACCATTTCATCTTTTAAAAGAAAAAAAAGCAAATATTTGAACACTCATACATTCAACTAAATTAGATGGGGTTTCTTGGGTTTTTTTGTTTGTTCGTTTGTTTTTGGCTGTGAATAGTAGGAGAATCATGGGCTAATATCACATTCATGAAAAAAGAGTCAGAGTAAAACTTTTATCTATCGGGTTGAATAACAGATTCCACGCACTTGTGGGTACACAGGGAACACCAGCTGTTTGGCCAAACAAGCTACATTCAGTAAAGAGGGGAGTGTTCAGTAAAATGCGGAATTTGACTTCACTAAAGATCAAATAACTGTTGAATTGTCAGGTTTTTACTTTTCAAATGGTTGTGTTGGTGTTTCATTCATATGTTTCTGAGAACTGCTGGATGGAAGTGATCTAGTTGCTGGGGCAGATGGCAGCAGGGAAGGATCTGCAGGTCTTTGGAGCATCCCTGGGATGTCTTAGCCTTGGTCAACGGAGCACTGCATTGCTGCTCCCATGCAGCAGTAACGGATGCAGCGGGTCAAGCCTTGCATGTGGTTACTGGCTGCTCCCCAGCATATTGGAGGATTATGGTGTCACGAGGCTCCAAGTCCATTCTTAAATCTATTTCTAAATAGCTATGAGGTCTTGAACAAGTCCCTGTCTTTCTTTTGGCAACTCTAATTTGTAAAATGAGGGAGGGGGCCGAAGAAAATGACCTCAAAGGTCCTTTCTAATTCTAACAGTCTGTGACTCTGTATAGACTCTATATGTGACAACCTGTACTCCACTGAATATCTTAATCACTATTTAATGCTCAATTGTCTTATGGGGTCATATTAAAGTTAAATGGTTCCAAAGTGCCCCGGTGAAGAATCGATCTCTTTATTATGTCATAAAGATGGGAGAGGCTGTAAGTTTCCTTTGACTTTTTCCCCATCTGCTCCTAGGAGGCATGTTGGGCCAGCCAGGTGTTGGCCCTGCTTACAGTGAAGCTTGGACACCAGGTTGTGTGCGTTTACTTAAAACAACTGGTATGCAAAAGCATTTTGATAACTAGGTTATTTCAGCTGCATAATGGATAGGTTATATTTATTTTAAAAAGCTTTAGACAAGTAAAGAAATCAGATAAGCTTCTTGAAAATCATTTCGCATAGAGGTTTTTGTTTTATTGTTATTGCATTATGGCCTGGCTTTGGGCTTCTAGTGATGTTAGTGATGTGTTAAATATAAAAATTATAAATAAAGCAAACATATGAAGACTTCAATTGCTTTATACTTAGCCTTCAGATTTGCTTATCAAATTACGCAACCTTTAAATGGAAATGTTATAGTCTCCACAGGTAAAATTATCATTTGTTCAAATTTTACAACCTTGGGAAATTTATGTATAATGCAAAACATGTATGTTCTCAATTTAGATTTCATAGGGTGAGATCATATAATGGCATAAAACTAGGAGAAGGTATGGGTTTGCACTGTCTGAAACAATTTATTTTTAAAGGGATGCCATAAATATTTGGTTAACAACCTGAACTACTCTGCATTTTCTTGGAAAATCTCTCAATCCCAGGAAGAGTTTCTCCTAGAAACGCAGTTTCCGTGTAGTGCTGATAGGCCGTCGTTCATGACCATTGTCCCATTAGCAAGTAAATTTGCCATCACCAGAACCACAGGCTGTAAACATTTTGCAATAGATTCAGGTTCAAGAGCCATTTAATTATCAGTTGCCTGAAATTGGAGAAAACACAAAAAAACTTAGGCTGATGTATCAGTTCAGCATCAGAGCTGAGCCCGTTGGGTATAAATCTGTCCATAAGACTGAGCCATTTAAACTGCAGTCGTTAAGCGTATGGTAGATTTTGGTGAACCCTAATTTTCCCAGCCTTAAATCTGTTTTAGATGTTTAGAATTGTATCTTTACAATTTCCTTAACGTGGAGCATGCCTGCATTTTTGGCTGAAGGCCAGATGAAAGTGTGGGTATATACTTTCCTCCTTAATATTTGCTTTCAGGTTCAATAATGTTTGCATTATGGGCACTGAGCATGTGCATAGCCCTATGCTATGTTCAATAGAGACATCAAGGGATTAAAAGACTGGCCTTGCAATTTAACATTACAGAAAAAATAATGACAATATATGACCAGGCAACCATATGGTACGTAGCTGATAGAGGCCATTGGATCTACAAGAAGAGAGAGATGTGAATTGTTCAGTGAAGATGCTATGATTATTGTGCCCATTTTACAGATGAGGAAATTGGAAATTAGAATACTTAATCAGCTTGCTCAGTGACACAGTTAGTAAGTGGCAGCGTGAGGACTCTTCACCACCAACCTGGATCATTGGCTTGCTGCTTAAATGTTGGTAATCTCATGGTCTCCGGCTGTTGTCTCTTTCTTTTCGCTCTCTGTCTGCCTATATCTTCCATCCACACAGCTTCTGGAACCATCTCTACCTGGTAACTTCCAGTTTTTGTATTTTTTAACCCCCCACCTCTTTAAAATTCCATAGGCCTAGAGTGAACTCCCCACTGGAAGCTCCATAGCCATGGTGACTCTGCATATCCAAATCCTAGTGTGTCCATGTGGCTTTAAACATGTTCCTCAATCTGCATTCCCTTTCTCAGGAATCTACCAAAATTATAATTAAACAATAGTCACCTGGAGTCAATCTTGATTCCTTTTCTCTCTTGCTTCACCCCTTGCCTCCAGTGGCTTCTGAAGGTCATTTTTCAGTCTCTTTGAATCCATGCATTTTTCTCACTTTCTCCCTTTTTCTGCTTTGGTTCAGGCCTCAAAATTCCCTCCCTGGGCTAGTGCAAGAATTTCTGCCTCAGAGTTTCTCTAATATCAGTTCATCCTCTACTGTGTAATCAGGTAATCTTTATAAATAAAGATCCAGTTAATATTTACTTTCTTGCATCCAACCCCACATTGGTGTCCTACCAACAACACAGAGTCCCAGCTGCTTAGCATGTGGCTGATAGCCCATCACAGCCTGATATGGTTTGACTGTGTCCCCACCCAAATCTCAACTTGAATTGTATCTCTCAGAATTCCCATGTGTTGTGGGAAGGACCCCGGGGGAAGTAATTGAATCATGGGGGCCGGTCTTTCCTCTGCTGTTCTTTTGATAGTGAGTAAGTCTCACGAGATCTGATGAGATTATCCGGGGTTTCCACTTTTGCTTCTCCCTCATTTTTCTCTTGCTGCCGCCGTGTAAGAAGTGCCTTTTGCTTCCCTCCATGATGCTGAGGCCTCCCCAGCCATGTGGAACTCTAAGTCGAATTAAACCTCTTTTCGTTCCCAGTTTCGGGTGTTTTTATCAGCAGTGTGAAAGCAAATGCCCTGACCTCAGCTACCTTTCTGGTTGAATTTCTATCTCTTTTTCCCAAATGAATGATAATCTGTAGACACAGCAAACGTCATCCAATCATGGCCAAGCTCTTTTATGCCTCTGCTTTTCTGCATGCCGTTCCCTGCACCTGGAGTCTCCTTTTCTATTCTTTCAAAAGGTCTCTCCAATATCAAAAGTCTCTATGAAGCCCCATCTCCGTGAAGCCCACAACACATCTGTGGGCACAGAGTGCATCTGTGGTAGCTGCTGTCTCAGGACCGTGAGATTATTTAGACATCTGACTCTCCCTCAACGCTCACTAGCTGAAGGTCCCAGAGCCTGGCATAAGTTGGGCATTTATTCAATGACAGAATGACCGAGATTTTGCATTTGGAAGTTGTGTTAATTTTCTGTTGCCCTTGTAACAAACTCCCACAGATGTAGAGGCTTAAATAATCCAAATTTATTATCTGACAATTTTGGTGGTCAGCAGCCTGAAATGAGTCTTCCCGGGTGTTTGGGTTTGAACTGTGTCTCCTCTTTCTTCTCCTGAGTCTCTGTTGCCTCATCTGTGAGGTGAGGATAGTACTGCTCACCCATCTCCTGTCGGGTGTGTGTGTTTGGGGTATATATCAAATATGAAAAACATGTATATTGCATTTACCAGCTGGCCTACAGCTAGAATGAGCTTATTTTTTCCCCTGCTGAGATGTCCTCTTTCCAACTGACAGTGCAGTGGTTTTCAAAAGGTAGGATTTATCGGCACCTTCTGCAGCTATGCTGGCCAGTTTGGTAGCCACTAGCCACTCACAATGTGGCTAATCTAATTCAGATGTGCTGTATGCAATCAATATATACTGGATTTGGAAGGCCTTCGACACATTATCTCATTAATAGTGTTTTTATTGACCACATGCCGGAATGACCATATTTTTGCTATACTGGGTTAAATAAAATATATTAATAAAATTAATTTTACCTATTTCTTTTTACCTTTTAAAAATCTGGCTACTAAGTAATTCAAACTGACAGGTATGGATCCCATTGTGTTTCTGTTGAGCACTGTGGCTCTGCTGGAGACACACAGACTCCTGGTAGTTTCAGTTAAGTGCTTCATCTTAAACCATCCCAAAATGTAGTTGCCCAAAACAACAACCAAATTTTATTTCTCACAATTGGCAAAGGTGGCTGGATCTTAGCCAGAAAGTTTCTCGACTGCTCTTGTGTGGGTATCTCCTATGTTTGCAGTCAGATGGCCACCAGGGCTGTGGCTCGGGCTGGATGTCAGCCACCAGGGTACTTCTCCTTGTGGCTTCACTCCATGTGGCATCTCAGTCCCCAGGGCCACTCTGGTGGCCTCTCTCCATTGAGGAACCCTGGACTTCTTGAACCCTAGACTTCAAAAGGGGTAGCGGTTGATGCAGCCCCGCATTATAAACACTTGGGCTTAGAAGTCACAGAATACCATTTCCTCCATATTCTGTTGGTCAAAGCAGGTAGAGAACCAGCTCTGACCAAGAGGGTAGGGAGGCAAACCTCCACCTCTTGATGGGAGAGGCATCAGGCACTGACAAGGAAGGGCAGAATTATTTGGGGCCATCTTGGGGAGGCACTCATCTCGCCCACAGAGACAGCCATTCAGCTTGTCTAAGGTGAGACTTCTGGTCTTCATATTTCACAAGCATCCCCAGTGGCTACACCTGGAAGGATACTTCCCTAGGGGGTTTTCATAACATCTTGGAGAGTAAGACATTTTTTTGTGAGTCTTGCCTCTAGCAGTTAATACTGGAAGAAACTTATAATGACGGAAAAGGATGGTGGTAAATCCATTGTTACCTCCATGATCACCATTGCTTTTGTTAAGCTCAGCAGGCATTACATGAAGCTGAAAACCAGGTTCAAGAGTGTTAAGGAGCAAGCTGTGTGTATCACAGGTTCTGCAGCATCCTGAAACCTTGGAGATAGTGAGGAGAGGAGGGTGTGTGTGTGTGTGTGTGTGTGTGGCCTGGCGCTCAGAAAACAGGTGCTGGAGCCAGCCTGTGTGGTTTGAATCCCACTTCTGTAGTCATGTGACCGAAGGGAACTGTCTTAACCTCTGTTTGCCCTCATTTCCTCACATACAAAATGGGACACAGCAAATTTATATGGTTCTTATGAAGATTAAGTCAACACCTATAAAGCATTTAAAACAATGTCTAGAAGGCCATGCAGACACTCAGCATGGCTATTTTTATTTCTACAGAACCATCTGTGGCTTAGTTTTTATACCTCAGTAATCCTCTCTCTCTCCTCTCTCTCTCTCTCTCTCTCTCTCTCTCTCTCTCTCTCTCTCTCTCTCTCTCAGAGAAGTGAAAAAGAGAACTGACAAGGATGACAGCAAATCCATTACCAATCTCACCGGGACCAATTCCAAAAAGTCACCACAGATGAAGAATTGTTGCAATGGCTAAGTCCCAAACATCCTTGACCTGTGAAGTCTTCATTTCCAGAATACTGAATTTGTGTGACTTATTTGGCTGTTGACAGAGTGGCATATCCTACTGACACTGTCATATGGAGAGTTACAGTGCAGGAAACCCGAACCCTGCTCTCAGGTCCCTCTGGAACTTTGGCTCTTCTTTGTTTTGTCTCAGTGAGTGGTTTGGGCCCTCTGGTTAAATAGACTAGTCATGTCCTTACAGGTCTTAAAAGATAACATGTAAATGTTTTCTAAAATGGTAAAAAAAAAAAAAAAAGGAAAAAATCACATGCTCACATCAAAGCTGTAGAGGAAACTGACTTAATTAGATTCATGTGGTAGCTGAATTAGGTTACCCACGAAGTCAGCATTTAAGTATTTGATATTAAAGTTCTAGTAAAAAGGGGTTCTCATCCTAGGTTTGCTGTTAACTGGCCTTGTGATCTTGGACATGTCACAGGCCCATGTTGGATCTGTTTCTTCATCTGTAAAAGGCACAGCTTGCCCTCAAAGGCCTTGCAGCCCTTGGCACCTCAGATTCTGTAGGAAGCAGTAGGAAGGAGAGTGTGGTGGCCCACAGCTAATAATAAGAACTGTGGTTATTCCTGCTTTTTGAATATTGGAGTATTGATTTTTCTCACTTCTGAAATAAGGACAGAATTTAATTGAGAAAAAAATGGAAACATCTATTTTTTATGTATAAAGAAACATGCTTGAGACAAAAATAGTTGTATATATAAGAGGATATTTCATAATCTCAGAATAGTTACAAAGCCCATTGTTTAAATTTGGTGTTAAAAATTGTAATGAAAACATGTAAAGCCACATGCTGCTGAAAGCACAATGCCCAGGAAAGTTGTTACTCTTCACTTAAGGGAGTGGTTGCCAGGGGCTGAGAAAGGGAGGACAAGGTATGTGGTTTCTTTGAGGGATGATGAGAATGTTCTGGAATTCAAATAGGGGTAATAGTTGCATAACTGTTTGAATATACTAGGAACTACTGAATGGTATACTTTGAAAGGGTGAATTTTATGGTTGTGAATTATCTCACTAAAAAATACTAGTACTTAGAGTGATTTAACATGTTGCAAAATGAAAATATCCCTGCTGATTTCAAACCTTCCCATGGTTTAGAAGCGTAACCTGTAATGTAATCCAAGTCCCCTAACTCCCTAGTTGCTAACATTAACTTCCTTAAGTAATAATCAATGAAAGAAATACTGTGTGTGGTTTTGAAATAATGTCTTTAAGAGAGGAATTGCCATTAGGAAAGGTGAGTCAGGGTCCTTTGTTTAATGTGACTAGTCCCTCATCATCACCAATGACCTGGTTGGGCCTACTCTCCTTCCAGAATCTGCATTGCTTCCCAGATGTCCCCACTGAGATGTCTCTAAGAGCCAAAGGAGTCAACAGCTGAGCCTAGGGTGGGGCTACAACACAGAATTCTAATTTACCTTGCTTCATCTAGGTCCAGGCCCCAAGTCGCTTCCTGAAGGAACTTAAAAAAAAATAGCTGTTATTTATTGTATTATATAAGCTAAAGACATTTCTTTTTGTTGAATCAAAACAATTCCATGTAGCAATATTTTTTCTGTTCACGATGTTTGTGATAGAACCTTATATTCCGCAAGCGTCAGTTTTTTAAAAAACGGAAATTGACCAGATATGTTACAGGCAAAGATTATAAATAACTACAACATCATTTAACTTTTGTAAACATACCTTCTCCCTATTGAAGACATCTGATATTTTTGCTGGAAAGTTGGATCTATCCTCAGCAACTCTGCCATGAATTCCTGTTTCCTGGTTCCAGAAAAAGAAAAGATTACATTTCTAATCATAAAGAATGTCTTGCGTATGGGAAATTTTTCAAAATAAAGGGGGTATTATTTATGTGGCACGACGAAGCAAAAGTTTTGCCATGGCTGTTTGTCTTAGTGGCACCTTTTGATGAGATTGGTGAGATTGGATCTGATATAGATGCTGATATATGGGACACATGTTTAGGTTTTGGTGCAGTTGCACAAAACTGTGTTAGTTTATATGTTACTGTGTTGCCTTTATTTATTCTCTCCAAAGTGTCTCTTTTTATTTGTTTTACAATCTGTAAAAGAGTATACCTGTAATACAGAAGTATTTTCATAGTCTTTGTCTCTGGATTGTCCCGTCAACGTACCCGATGCTGATGAGATTACACCAGTGCCTTTGATCATCAACCGATCGTCTTTAACTATTTGAGCCCTGATAAATATTTTGGTAACATCATCCAAATTAGAGACTTAGAGCTCTGGTTAGCAATCATGTTTCAAGAGAAGCTTCTTAATGTATGCTGCAGTGCTGGGAGATCCTGATTATTACCAGCGTCTTGATTTCATGAAGGTGTTCTCAAATTTAAAGCACATTTTCAGTAAGAACAAAAATATTTAATGTTTTTATCCTAGACTTAATACATTTGCATATTACTGTCGAAGTTATTCACCTTGTCCCTGTTTTTCTTTAAGAGCTTTTAAAATCACAGTTACACTATAGTCGTTTTTAAAATGTATCCCGATACATTGTAAAATATTTTAATTTTATTATGGAAAATAATGTTGGATAAGGAGATATTTTTCACTGTTAACTTTTAGCCCATGCATTTTCATAATTTATTTTTTTCGCTTGCTGCTTTATATGACATATGTGACACTTGATTATTTAATACTTCATGTGATTTGCATAAACCCAAGTTGCACAGCCGTCCTGCTGAAGATAAAATTGAGGTTAAAGATAAAGATTTATTTTCGTATTTGTACAGTGATCGGCTTCAGAGTGATGATTTTTGTGAGCTTTTATTGTATGTGTGTGTAAGACATTTCATATGTATATATTAAGTAGGCCTCTGAGTGTTGAATAATTGTTTTATGATTTTGATTTATATGGTTTACATTTTCATTGTGTGGGCCATATTTCGTTTTTACTGTTTATTTCTCTTCAAACCATTAATAATTATAAAAATAAAGTGTAATTTTTATAGCAATGCAAATGTCTAAGGAACTACAAATATTTTCTACATTGTAAATTCAATAAAGCTTGCTTCCTTTGGCCTTTTGACTGTTTTCTTCAACTTTAGTGCAGATATCCCTGAAGTAATTTTAATTCTAGGATGTGTCTGCCTGAAACCATACCTCTAAAACACTTGCCTTTTCTGGCCATGGTGAGCCGAGTTTTGGGAGAGAAGAATACACACCTGGTGTTCAGCGCTATGGCACAGACAAGTCATCCTGGCCAACGGGGCAGCAGGTAGACCAGCCTGGGGCAGGACAGCCAGGAATAGTGAGGTTTTTGTAGAAGAATGTCAGTGCTCTGGCCATCCTCATGTCCTCTGAGGAGTTAGACCTTTTCCCTGATTCTCACCCCTTTCTTTCTACCCCCACATTCCCATGCACCCCAGTAGGCTGAGGCTACCTGCCCTCACTCCTATAGTACCTTTTTAAAATTTGTCAACATCCTTGTTGCCCTTATACTTATTACATGGACAGATGCCCCCTGCCCTTAGCCACTTTGTCTGCTACCACCTCCCTTCTGTTGTGTGCAGTGCTTGATACTTTAATCATCCTAATTGTTGAATGGATGGTCAAAGAATTAACTAGTTAAATAAGGTAGGCTTTGCAAAGAGTGTCTGCCAACACCCCTACCACCACCAACACACACACATAGACACACATACATGATGATGATGGACAGTATAAGTAAGAGGCAGTCTAATGTCCATGGTTATGAGCTCTGAGGCCAGCCTGCCTGGTTTGAACCCGGCCTCACATGTAGTAGGGGAACTGTGAGCAGGGGACTTAACCTCTATGTATCCCAGCTGCTTTATCTGTAAAATAAGAATGATAACAGTACCTTTCTTATGGAGTTGTTCTGAGAACTAAATGAGTTAATGTATGTAAAGGTCTTGAATCATGCCTGACACTGTGATTGCCCTCAATTAAAAAAACAAAAAAATTCATTTTGCAGCACCGTTGGCTGCATTGGTCTTGTTCAAGACCCTGGATACTGCCACCAATGAATAACAGACCTCCAGGAGTATGCCAAGTCACACTGGGGATAGAACATGTTAGAGGATTCTCTTTGACATAAGTTCATTGACTACCTTCCACGTACGTTCTTGCTGTTTCAATGGACACAAAGTTGGGGTATCTCATAGGATAGGTTATTGTAAAGGGTGAATTAACAGAGGAGGAAACGAGGAGAGAGAAATAAGGGTCTGAAAGTTAGAATGGAAAAGTGTGAATGGAATCATGATTAGGGTAGGATCTCCATTTACTAATGGCTGATAGGATCAAGTAGTGAAAGGGATGAGGAAAATATTGCAGCCTGACTGGGATTTTGAATCTAAATGATAGCAAAAGTGGTAGTGGGATAATGGAATTCTCTAACTAAATGGAAACTGAACTTAATAGCTTGTTGAAAGAGAAAGAAAGATTGCCCATAGATATATCCCCAAATCCACATAATGGGAATGAATCCCCAGGAAAGCATATCATTTTGCAAGTTTTAAAATAAAAAGAACAACTTTTCTTTTCAGATATCAGCATGGAAATATATTTCCGAGGATAGTTCCAAGATGGCCGAATAGGAACAGCTCCAGGCTACAGCTCCCAGCATGAGCGACACAGAAGACAGGTGATTTCTGCATTTCCAACTGAGGTACTGGGGCATGTTGGACAGTGGGTGCAGGACAGTGGGTGCAGCCCGCCCAGTGAGAGCCAAAGCAGGGTGAGGCAATCAGGAAGAGCAAGGGGTAAGGGAATTCCCTTTCCTAGCCAAGGGAAACCGTGACACACAGCACCTGGAAAACAGGGTCACTCCCACCCTAACACTGCGCTTTTCCAAGGGTCTTAGCAAACGGCACACCAGATTATATCCCATGCCTGACTCGGACGGTCCCATGTCCATGGGGCCTCCCTCATTGCTAGCACGGCAGTCTAAGATGTAACTTCAAGGCGGCAGCAAGGCTGGGGGAGGGGCGCCTGCCATTGCTGAGGCTTGAGTAGGTAAACAAAGTGGCCAGGAAGGTCGAACTGGGTGGAGCCCACCGCAACTCAGAGAGTCCTGCCTGCCTGTGTAGACTCTACATCTAGGGACAGGACATAGCCAAACAAAAGGCAGCAGAAACCTCTGCAGATTTAAATGTCCCTGTCTGACAGCTTTGAAGAGAGTAGTGGTTCTCCCAGCATGGAGTTTGAGATCTGAGAATGGACAGACTGCCTCCTCAAGTGGGTCCGTGACCCCTGAGTAGCCTAACCAGGAGGCACCCCCCAGTAGGGGCAGACTGACACCTCACATGGCTGGGCACCCCTCTGAGAGGAAGCTTCCAGAGGAATGATCAGGCAGCAACAATTGCTGTTGAGCAACATTTGCTGTTGGTAAAAGGTAAAAGCAAAACATCTACAGATTAGCAAACTGTACGTAAGATTGAGAGTCATTTGGTAAAGAATCAGATTTATTGAATGCTTTCTAGGGTGACATAGCATATCATTTCTCTCCTCCCTAAAATCTCATTAATAAGAGAGTCAAAGGGAGTTTTAAATCTATCCACAAGAACAGAAGACAAAACCATCAAAATTGTGAAGCTGGAAAGCAGATGGATAACTGAATATTGAGATAATTGAGTTCTGAGTTAACAGACCCAAGAAAGCTGAATCCTAGGTCAGTCCTGGGAGAGAGTTGTGAACAATTCAGATATATATCCTGGATTTCTCAGAAGGCTCAGGAAGTGATAGAATTAGGTACCTCAAATGGTGCTGTGAGGCAAAGTGGTGTGAATGCAGTTTGAGAAGCAACTCTGTCCTTACAGGTTATTCTCATGCTACACCATTATTACCCTGTGTAAAGTCTGGTGATGTGTTTTCTTGAGTGAGAAAAACAGAGGGCTTCTAGAGTTATGGATGCCACTGGATGCAGTTGAATGTGTTGGTGCTGTTCAAAATCTGGCGGAATTGATGACATCATCTATTCTGAGTGCCGAATGCTAAATGCTAATACTCCCCACTCAGCTTTCAGAACACTGATCCTTTATCCTCCAGAGATTGAGAGACTTTTCTCCGAAGTGCTGCCCTAACAAGAGGAAAGCCCTAAAGATACATCAGGTATGTTTACAACAAATGGCTCCCCTGATCACCCTACAGTAAAGTTCAAAGTTGACAAGTTCTTCCCCACATTCAGAACTTTAAATCAGGTTATTAGCTCCCCTGAGCAATCCAAGGATCACTGGATATTTGTGGAAAGCCTCTTAACATGGAAAATGCAGACCAAAACAAACAAACAAAACAGAAAAATATCAGCACAGGGAAACAGAACATATGCAGAGAGGGAAAAAAATCTATCAGTGTATTCAGAGAGATAGATGTAACTATTGCAGCCATGAAACAAGAACAAGGTATTATCAATAAGGACATTCATAGAGCAAAAATAAGCTTTTAGAAATTAAAAACATGATAGAAGTTACTAACAACAACAACTAAATAAACTTTGGAAGATAAATTTGGGGCACCTTGCAGAAAGAAGAGCACAAAGAGAAGACAGGAGAGGAAGGATGTCCGATGTCCAAAAACAACTGTTCCAGAAGGATACAATGGAGAAAATAGGATGGCATAATCATAAATTATTCAAGACAAAATATCCAGAACTAAAGAGTGTGAGTTGCTCCATTGAAACAGCCTACCTAGAACACAGGAGAATGGACGGAAATAGAGTATACTGTCATTAGAGCCCTATGTCTGGAGAAAAATACTCTCCAAGTTTCCAGAAAAAAAGGAAAACAAATTAGAAAACAAGAATTAGAATGGTTGTATAGATCTCAACAGAAACACAGAAGGCAAGAAGACAGTGAAGCAATGCCTTCCAATTTCTGAAGGAAAATTGTTTCCAACTTGTAATTCTATACCCAGCCAAAATACTAATAAAATGTGAATAATAATGACATTTTCAAGATATTTAAAGTCTCAAAAAACCTGATCTCTCCTATGCTATATGAGAGGACTTCAAAAAGTTTGTGGAGGCCAGGCACAGTGACTCACACCTGTAATCCTGGCACTTTGGGAGACCAAGGCGGGTGGATCACCTGAGATCAGGAGTTCGAGACCAGCTTGGCCAATATGGTGAAACCCTGTCTGTACTAAAAATACAAAAATTAGCCAGGCGTGGTAGCAGGTGCCTGTAACCCCAGCTCCTTGGGAGGCTGAGACAGGAGAATCACTTGAACCCGGGAGGAAGAGGTTCAGTGAGCCGAGATCGTGCCACTGCTCTCCAGCCTGGGCAACAAAGAGTGAAACTCCATCTCAAAAAAAAAAAAAAAAAAGTGTGTGGAAAAACAGAATTGAAAGATAAAAATTAAAAATATAAACTTAGGTTTCAACATAAGCTCCATCAAGTTCAAGACTTTGGTAAGCAATGATACCAGCCATTAGGCATCCCTAAAGAACCGAGGGTCCTGGGAATTTAAGTATGTCAGTGCAGTCTTTTTTACGTGATACTGCATTCCAGTTTTAGCTGTCCCAAAAGAAAGTGTTTGGCCATGGAGAGAAAGAAAGAGAAAAGAGAACTGGAAGGGAAGGAAGGAAGAGGGAAAGGAGGGAAGGAGGGAAGGGAGGAGGAAAAGAAGGGAAAGAAAAGAAAGGAATAAAAGAATCACAAAGTGGCACACTCTTCCTGCCTATGTTGCTGCTGGATGTCCAGTGCTCAGCTCACACTCATCTTCCCAGGTTGCCCATCTCTGGTGAGTCCTGTTTCCAAAAACGAACCCATCGATTTTCAACTGATACACCCAGAGGGTCTCTTACAAACTCTTAGGACGCTAAAATTAAGCTTATTCTCAGGAAATAAAGGAAAAAATGAGGAAAAGAGTGAAGGTAGGAAAGAAGAAAGGAAGAGAGGGAGGGAAGAGGAAGACTAATGTTCTATGGAAAGCAATTTGTAAACTTTCTCAGCAGGGTGTGGTGGCTCACACTTGTAATCCTAGCACTTTGGGAGGCAGAGGTGGGTGGATGGCCTGAGGTCAAGAAGTTCCAGAGCAGCCTGGCCAACATGGTGAAACCTTGTCTCTAC